CGTGAAAAGTTTAGAGTCTGAACGCTATTTTTCCTTAAACCTTGTTAATTAAAAATTAAGCATTAACACAAACAAATAAGAATTTTCAGATAATATTTAAATTAAATATGATACTTGTAGTGTGTAAGTTATGTAATTTAATTATATATCCATTTCAGCCTTCTACTTCGAAGCATAATAACATTAATCCTATTTGAAATCAAGACTATGGGTGTCTTCAACTGTGCACTGTGAATATGAAGGGTATGCATGTATAATGAAGTATATTATTTTTCTCATTAAAATGGGATATCAGTTTCATTTTTGATTGAACTCACTCTTTAGATTTTAATGTGGGAAACATATTAATGTAGTGTAAGCGGCAGTGTCTAGTTAGAACTCTTACCATGGCCCTTTCGGCCTAACTTTAAATCTAAACATGATGAAAATTGATCAAACTTTTTGTCGTTTCATATTATCTTGATCATTTTCAAAAAAAAAATTGTACGTGTTGAAAATTGAGGGTTGTATGAAGTAGAGGGTTATAAGTGTTCCATCTTCGGTATCTGTAAAAGACGTTTTATTATTCAGAAATTTGCGTTCCCGGTAGTATTACCCACCTGTTAGTTACAATATCACAAATATTTCGCATAATGTTTACGTCAGTGACTCCAGCAACATCAGCTACACAAGAACAGCAGGTATGCTTTACCTGAAGGGTCCGATCTGAATTCAGCGACACCGACGATGCCTAGGCTTCAGCGTCATCGAAGCCGTTGATGACGCGCGACGTGGTAGTGATACAGGGGCGTGCGAAAGTTACCCAGATATTACGCGCCATGTATAGTCAGAGCTGATAATTTCCAAAAATATATTCATTCTAAATCATTGCCAGTTGTCAGGATTTCCATAGCCGGTGAAAGCTGATTCAACGTTCACTTGTTTAGAATTGCATTGGAAATACTTGAAGTCATTTTTGTTGAACTGACATTGGGAACTTGGAGTCTTACTGGCGGGGGAGTATTGTAATCGCGAAAATTTTCTATAATGAGATATTATGTTTTTGGATGTTATATGACATGTATATACATCACGAAAAAACATAGCACCCATTTCTGTCGGTCTGCCTGTCTGTATGTCGGTCGGTCCGCTAATCTTACCCTGCTATAACTTGTGAAGTACCGCTCGGATTTCGATGCAATTTTTACACAGTGTTACTAATATGCCAAGGATATTTTTATAGAAATTCGGCCCAGTGATGGCGGAGCTAGGGGCAAAAACACGAGAAAAATAAAAACTTCGTGTTTTGATATTTCAGAGGCCTCTGATGATTTTCAGAAACATTTGTGCAGTGGTATAAAATCGGGGGTTGAGGGTTGTAGGGTCAGGGAGGGTATATAACATTTTTTGGTAGCAGTATATCCACACATTTCGAACCCCATTAATTTTACGCACCTATCAGTACATATTTCACACACCACAGCTTACCCAGTAGATTTCGTCGCGTTTTTCACGAAGTGCTCTAACTGACAAAATACCAAAAATTGATATAACCCGCATATAGGTGTACAAAGGGTACTATTAAAGTTTTGCAATATGACTTAACAAACGGATGCAGGATGCTGCATGTTACTGCAAATATAAGTCTAGCCACCGCGATACTAGTTAAGACAGTATTTAGTTAAAAATACTGATGAGAAATAGAAATAATATAAATGATATTAACTAGAACAACTCAATAAGCAACCAGTAAAAATAACAAAAAAGAAGTACTTCGACTTAATTTCGTTATGTGAAAATCCAACACCCGTTGTACGCTTACCAGAATTCCAAAACTTTTTTAGAAATTTGCCTCATGAAACGGAATTAATTATTAATAATTATTCCTTCGTTTTTTTTGTGTATCATAATACATCAACATTAGCTGGTAATATATCAAAAGATAATGTTTAAATTAGTTGTTTTTCTTAGTTTTTATTTCAATAAAAATTGCTTTGACGTGTCGAGTTGTTTTCTTCATCCCATCGCCTAATATTTGTGTCATAATCTACATCAATTTTAGGCATGGACATTCAGGGAAATTTTGTACGGGGTAGCCGAAATTCAAAAGTCGATCTGAACTTTTTTTACACAGACTCTGCTGTCGGCAGACCAACGATTACTTGGCTGGAAATATGATTCTTCGCTTATAAGTACATCAAATAAATTCTGTATATCTTAAAAAAGTATAATAACAAGAACTTTAATAAAAATATATTTTAGCTCTACCTGACAAAAAGATTCTGAAAATTCTCACGAAGTGTGCGTTTTCCAATTTTTTCCAAAATAACTTGATAAGTTACCACAAATATTGCAACAGCATATATGATCGACAATGAATATGAGCTAATACACTGAATTTTTCAATTCGGAAATATCTAAACTTTACATAAAATGCTCATTCAACTACACGCTGATTTCGTTTTCTTGCTCTTCTGTGAAATCTACTAAACCTTGGTTAGGGCACACGGTAGCACTGTCTGCGAGTCTGCGTCTAAGTGACTCTGACTGCATTGCCGGTTCTCTCGAGTTACTATACCAGTGTGGTTCAGCACCGTTGTCAGATGGTCGACACTCAGAGCAGGGAAGAAACTATCGTTAGCGTTTGGCTGATCTAATGAATGAATTGCTGGTGCATGAAGGTGTAAGGTCTCCTCTATGTGTTAATACCATATGTCACTCTCCCGTCTTCGTTAAGCATTTTCCTCCCAGCAGTAATGTTTTCCTCTGTTACTGACGTTCGCGGCCTTCCTTCCCTCTCAGCGTCCTCCAGAATGAAATTGCCCCTTTGGAAATCTTTGCACCACCTGAATATAGCCGTACCATGAGGAGAATCATTCTTCAATGCACGCGTAATTTCTTCTAAGCACTGGTATATGCTTAAACCACGAATAAAGTTATACCGTAAAACTGTCCTTATCTCACTACGTGACCACGATGCCATAGTCCGCATTTTACATTGCCAATACTGAATGAACAACTAAATGCTGCTGGAGGCTACTATGCACTCATGGACATGTCTCAACATGCAGTAACATGCACCCTCCTGCAGTCGGTTTGTTAAGTCATTACATCGTCTATACCGCAAACAGGCGTAACTGATTTCACACAAATTTTCATTAGAAGCAAAATGAATATCGACAGTTATTTGATTCTATACTAAGTGACATATAAATCCGAACACCCAGTTTAAATGGTTTTATTTTAATAAAATTTTGTATAAGTACTTAATGAAGCATAATAAGTAAATGATAAAAATTTCAAAATGATTGCACTGCTTTACAGCCCTTTGACCTTTAATAATGTGTGGATGCACCCTGATGTGCTACGCATTCTCCAACGTGCCTAGGCATGCTTCTGATCAGGTGGTCAATGTCCTCCTGTGGTATCTCATTCCAGGCAACCACCAACTCCTCTCGAAGTGCTTCTAGAGTCTGAGGAGGACGTTGCAAATTGAGCAATCTCCTACCCATCATATCCCACACGTGCTCAATTGGGGATAAGTCGGGAGATCTTGGTGGCCATGGTAACAATGTGACATCATTATGTTGAAAGAAGTCTATTGTGACTATTGCAACATGTGGTCGGGCATTATCTTGTTGGAAAGTTGGATCTGCCAGGGTGTCAAGATAGGGTAAAAGATGGGGTTCTAGAACTTCGTGGATATAACGGTGCGCGTTCATGTTACCTCTGATGAAGATTAAAGGTGAGCTGGAACCATAAGCTATAGCACCCCAAACCATAACTCCAACAGTGTGATGAACATGTCTTTCAACAAAAAACTGTGGATTCCTCCTTTCACCACGTCGCCTTCTAACCCTGGCACGACCATCGTGCATGCCTAAACAAAGTCGAGACTCGTTACTAAAGACAAAACTGTTCCATTCCTGATCCCAGAGTGACCGTTGTCTGCACCACTCAAGGCGATTACGTCGGTGTTCTCGAGTTAAAGGGAGGACCCAGTGTGGCCGGTATGAAAACAAGCCAAAACTTCTCATTCGTCGGTAAACACTTCGCATGCCAATAGGTCTTCCGTGTTCTGCAAACCATTCATTTGCAATGGACCTGGTAGTGGAGAAACGGTCCCTTAAGGCCAATAATCTTAGGCGGCGATCTTCACGGTCTGTTGTTCTACGGTGCCCCTTGCTCTTTGCGTACGGCCTTCTTGAAGCCATGCCTGACAACACCTAACCACAGTGTCTACACTTCTTTGCACTCTAACTGGAATTGCCAGAAAAGAAAGTCCAGCTTCCCGAAGTCCCACTATACGGCCCCTAACAAACTCACTAAGTTGACGAAATCGTACAGGTCTCCGTACTCTAGGCATCGTAACCGATCGTAAAGGATGTCAAGAACCAAGATCCGCCAACGTTGATTCTTTACTGCGGCTGAAATATTCATTTTTAGAGCGTTAGTGAATTAAAAAAAGCAGTATAAAAACCGGAATGTCCAACTGATAAGGCTGAAAATTTTTTCACTTGTTATTTACAGTAAGATAAATATATTCACCAACTTTTATTAAAATAAAACCATTTAAACTGGGTGTTCGGATTTATATGTCACTTAGTATATATATCTTTTCTACTTTAGACGATATGATCATGATTTCTGATATCTCTGTGAGCGAACTACTTAAAGTTACGCCACTTTGCGGGATTAAAGATACGCTACCTTGTTGATTTGAATCGGTTAGCTTTAATTTGATTTTTTGTCAGATACGCCTGTTTGCGGTATGGGCAACAATATTGCAAAACTTTTATACTACCCTTTGTAGCTAGTTCAGAGGGACTAACTTGTGCTGAACATAATCGTTTATCAACCGATGACAAAGTTTCGTGGGAAGTGCAGAGTCAGTCTACTTGACGCCATTTTTTGTCTTCATCCATTAAGATCCTGTTCTCTGAATCTAAAGTCCATCCACGTCCCTGACTGAATCTCGAACTTGACCGTTACCTCTTGTCGATCGTTAATCCAAACCGCATCCAGGTCACCGCGAATGCAAATTGAGACGTGGACTTCTGGCGTGTTGGTATATAAAACACAGGCAAGCCCGGGCACGACTTTTCACCGCCGCGCGATGTCCGAAACGCGTGGTACCGTGTGGCTTTCGGTGGTTCTGCTATTGGTACTTGTTGATCATAAGCGATGGCAGGTGACGGCTAGGGCACCATTAACGGGTAAGCATGCATATGATGATAATAATAATAGTAATAATAGCATGCCTTTATGCGATTCTCCCACATAAGTTCTCTTTTTGAGTAAGGCGAGGCACTAAATTTTATAATCAAAGAATTTATAAAGAAAGTTAACATCCTTTAATTTCATGGGGCTTGAGAGAAGGAGAACGGCTTCTTTGAAAACGTCTATAAACAGCGAGAGCGGAAATAGTAAGAAAAGTGAATATTTTCAACGAAAAGTTAGTAAAAGTGAGAAAAAGTGTAACAAGTGAGTCGCCAGCATCCCTGGTTAAACGTACCACCATGAATAAAGATATAGCTGAAGTAAAGTAATACTTAAGATTTGTGACTAATGCCTAATAGGGTGTAAATCTATTCAAGTACACATATTTAAATTCCATGTCATTTATCCAGGGTGATTCACAAGTCGTGAAAATGAAACATAACAACAAAAGATACAGGGTGTTGAAGTTATCTTCAAAACCGTCATATGGAATGAACTAAAATTTGGTATGTGGATTTACCTGAGTATTGTTCACATTCAAAAGTCTTTGCTTAAAATTAACGTCAACCTGTGGCGGAGATACAGGGGATTAGTGGCATTATTTTTCCAAATAAAAATAGTACGTCACTGTTTTTTTTGTTCGAAATGCGCAATTTTTCGGATTTTTTCCATCAATTTGCTACCAATAATTACTTTTGTGTTTTTCCCTAGAGTGCATTGTTTTCGTAAAAAAAACAAATTAGATAAAGCTTTATTTCAATAAATGTTCAATGACCACCATTTTGACTGATACAAGTGCGGCATCATGAAATGTATTATCTATTCTTACTGCCATTACATCGTTGTCTAAAATGATTATTTAACCATGCGGTGTTATGTCACGACGTGCTGATACCACATTCGTACTCTCGTTGCTAACGAAACATAATCTAACACATTTTCTATGTAATTCTCTACAAAAGCTAAGTATGAGTTTGCGTTTAAACATTGTGGCAATACGTGCATAAACTGTTGGCCATTCTTGCAGAACGGGGATTTTCTAACGACCAAATATGTTCATTATGAGAGTTAAAGGTTCCAATCCCCGTAAAAAGCGATTCATCTGACCACAAAACCAAATCAATAAAATCAGCAGTTTGATTATGCATTTACAGTAATCACTCACAAGAATTTTGCCGTTGCATTTCAATCCGCCTAGTACTTATACTAGGATCATCCAACGCCAAATTAATTACTTTCTAGTTCCTCTTGCACAGTATGCCGGACACCATGACCTGGAAGTTTGGCAATTACATCTTCCCGAAGTCTTAGAAATAAACGCGTAGAAACCTTTGGGGTAGGTTGGCGTCTGTAAGAAAATCTACGTTGATACGCCACAGAAGCCACTGAAGTATTGCCATTACAGAGCCCGTACACAAAAATAAGTGTAATATCATCATTGCTAAGCTCCATTTCACAACACTCAAAAATGGAAAAAAGAAACTTTTGACTTGATTTTTACAAAAAAAAATGGTAGTAGTAACGATATCAACCGTATATCACATAACTTTGACAAACTATCTCCCAAGAAACGTCAAGTTGGTATGAAGGCCTTCTATTATATTTTGAAACTAATTGTATCTCGGCTCTGCTTAAATGATCTAAATTGTTTTATTTTTGTGACTTGTGAATCACCCTGTATAAAATTATAATAGTTATATAACTCAAAAGATAGACCCGCCTGCCTTCGGCCTCTCATCCTAACCGTGTCAAAGTGCAATCATCCAAAACTGGCCGGTAAGACCGCTCCTTTGTCCCTAGGGTGTCAAGAGGAGACTTTTCCCAGATCTACTAACCTTAGGCAGTTTAAAAATCGCATTAACAAAGCTTCTTGGGTATCCTCAAAGCAGCCTGGCATTTAGGCTTCGGCCTGCGCGGCTGCTTCAGTGTAAAAAAAGATTCTTCTCTAGCCCAATTTATGGAAAGTGATCCTCTCTTGTTATCAGGTAGAGGATGTGGATAGAAGCATTGGTTTTAAATTCTATAACGACGTAAAGTGGTGTGGTATAACGTTATATTGACTATTTCTCGTTGTTTGATAACGTCTTCAAATTTTTTTAGTTTTTAATAAGGTGGCTTTTTATTCAGTAAGGTTGTGTGAACTGAAGATAATGTGTGTTGGTTCTAAGATTTTCTAGATTTAATTTACCGTTTTCCTTATAAACATGACTTATATGGTCATATTTTCTAATACCAAAACAATAGCGGAAGCAAGAATTTTGAAGTCGCTGTAGCTTGATCTATCAGTTCATAGCAAAGCGGTCCATATATAGTGCAACAATAAGATATCATCGAAATTATTAATGAATCACACAGTTGTAGTTTCAAGTTACTATTTAGTAAATGTCGCTTAGGATACAATGGTTTAACGATACCGTAAGATTTTGAACATAATTCTTTCACATCATGATCAAATTTTAATTCATAGACCCAGATTTTTGCTTACAGTTATAGTTGGTAAAGGAACGCTATTAATGTTAAGCTGGCATAAACTTTCTACTATAATTCGTTTCTGTTCCGGCCCAAAAACCATAACTTTTGATTTAGAAATTAAGTGCTCTGTGGAGTGACGCTGTTGGAAGGAGAATTTCGAGGCCCACAACTCATAGAGAGGCCCACAAACTGGGATTTAGCACTTGAAAGGTAAGTTTTCTTATACAAAAACCCTAAACTTGCACAACTTGTTTATAGGCCAAAGAAAAGCCACTATTAACTCCAGTGCAAAAGAATAATCGGCTTAGATGGGCTAAAGAACATAGACAATGGACACCTCAACAATGGTGTGCAATACAATGGAATGATGAGGCCCGATTCGAAGTTTGTGTTGGTGACAGTCGTAGTAGAGTTATTCGCAAAAAAAATGAAGCATTCCATGTTGACTGTCTGAAGAGAAAAGTGAAATGTCCAGCATCCATTATGGTCTGGGGCAGTATGTCATCAAAAGGAGTAGGAAAACTTCATTTTATTGATGGAAATGTGGATACAAACAATTATAATATATATAAAATAGTTGGCAATTTTAGAAGAATCGCTTTTACCAGTGATGGAAGAATGTTTCACATTCGGCCAAGATTTTGTGTTTCAGCAAGATGGTGCAGCGTACCATACCTCAAAAAAGGCTGTAAAATGGATGGAAGAAAATGATGTACCACTTTTGAAATGAGTTTCTAGCAGTCCAGATCTGTCACCTATTGAAACTTTGTGGCACGAGATGAAAAAGGTTCTACGACAACATCCTGCTCGTACAATCACCGAACTGAGACAAAAGCTTCAAGAAATATGGGATTGTTTTACACCAAATTTTTGCCAAAACTTGGTTAACACTATGCCCCAAAGAATCAGCCGTAATAAAGAATAAAGGTGATGTTACCCAATGGTAATCTTTCAATTGTTGCTTTGTTAACTTCGCGCATTTATTCGCACATTGTTTATTTGTTCAGATGTTCTATTAGTTATAGGTCTAAGTGATTTAAAATATGTATTTTTTACGACTAGAGTGTATCTAAAATTTTTTGAGAAAATAAATTGTTTTAGAAGTAAATAGTTTCGTCATGTTTAGTTTATAAAGGCATATTTTGGTACAAATCTTGAAGTGGGCCAACTGAAGTGGGAAGAGGCTCGTATATATATAACTTTTTTCTACTTTTAATTTTATTATTCTTTTGTATTTGTTTTGTATTTGAATGTACTTGTATTTTTTTAGCCTTGATTGATTCTGAAAAACAGCTTTTGCTTATGTAACCCGCCAGGTAAAATAGAGACCACTTATTATTATATCCAATTAAGTTCACCGCTGAGAGCGCATTGCATTCGTCAAAGAGGAGTTCAGCTCATCCTATGGCGAAGAACTGCCTAACTAGATGATATGTCTGTAATCGTTGCGATTAAGTAGCTACTAATGTCAATGTTATTTATATGGTTTGGTAAGTTTATGGAAACCACTCCTTCTACAGATATCACTATTTGCGCTATGCACACACTATCTAGCTTCCAGATGTTTTTGATTTCGATAGGTATATTCTGATATTTATCGATTTTTTCGTGCTCTGTTTTCAGCAGGTTTGTGGTATTTAAGTTATGATGCAGAAAAGAATGTACGTGGAAGAAGAAAATGCTGAGGAAAGCATCCAAGCCCGAGATGATAAATAGAGGTTCTTCATGCTTACCGCATATTCCTCGTTTGTTCGTCGTATTGTACATTTTATCCATTGTAAAATATTTCAATTTATATTGTAGTCAGTCTTGTAAAGTAAAAATATTTTTTTAAAAACCCGAACGGCCATTTCGGCAACATATCTTTTATATTTATAAGTCTATATCGGATCTGTTGTAGTCCACGGATTTTCCGGTTATAATGTTTCTGTTCCAGTAAAACACTACCGATTCGTTTTCCAATAAAGGCTAAGGAACATACACTTACACATTTTATGAGGTGATGCTGCTTTGCTAGTTCTTGATGGACAATTTTCGCGACTCCAGGTGGCTGACACTTTCTGCATTTATCGATGGTGTTTGCAAGCATTATGTACTTTTCGTATTTTTTTGTACGGATGAACCTGTCCTGTATAGCACAAAGAAAGCATTCAGTCTCTGGGTGGAGGTAGCCTTTCTTGAAGACTGACAAGGAGGTGGTTTTATTAATTCAGTTCTAATGCCTTCGGAAATCTTCCATGTATCGATTTAGCTTTACAATTTGTTATTGAATTATCTGTATCTTCTTCGGTCGTTTCGTCGTCATTAAGTGTCTGAACCTATTTCTAAAAACTTGCTTACGCCAAAATACCAAGTTTTATTCTTATTTTCACTGTTCATAATAGTAATTTTATCCGTTTATAAAATATTTGTTGAGCATTATTTTTAGCTTAATACACTTTGCGGCATCATTTTTATAGGGTCTTTATTTCCGGTTGACCATGAGCTTGTAAAATTTAGATTCTTTTTAGTTTCCGGTACATTTTAATGACATGCAATTGTTTGATATTTTTACGATACAAATATGGAGCAATTATTGACAACCATACAATTATACTAACTGTATTTTCACTTTCCATGTGAACAGGTGAATGGAGTATTACAATCGCGTAAAATATGGACTTTGAAGAAATATCTACGTAACATTCTGAAATTGGGAAACAGCTTTTTTAATGTACAAGATTTTAGAAAATCCTAATACTTTAACGTTCATCGAATCCACCAACCTTTTAGCTTCACAAACGTGTTTGGGAAGTTCACAATTTGTATAGCTGTATAATATGAAAACTTATATACACGCGTGGGAGGTTTATATGTATGTCACGGTAAAAAAAATATTTTTAGTATGATTTGTTGATTCGTTCTGATAGTATAAGAATTGTCATATTTCAATAATCTTTCCTTCCAGATAATGTTGCAGAAGCCTTAATAGATACGAGTGGAGATTTTCCAACCTATCAAGTACGAGATATCGAACCCGAAGATGCGGATGTATCATTTTTTAAGGGCCTCACTGAGATCAAACAACTTACTAATGTTTCTTTAGACGACGAAAAACCACAATCGAGAGTACTATACACGGGTTGGCAGACATGGAGAGTATACCTGAGTAAAGACAGTCAAATGGATATAATCTCACAGATGAAAGACCAAGGAGGTAAGTACAGAAATGTAGCATCAACCAAAACATATTTCTCCATTTCTAACCAGGAAACAAGGTATCTGATTATAGGAAGCCTAGACTGGCGTAACACTGTGGTTGTTGAACCATATTAGAGACTCACTCAATCTTCTGCCTGGGATTGCCATAGACGACCGCAGATCAAAAGCAGTTTTCTGATTTTTGACTTCAAGTTTTAATGTTAGCTGTGTTAGTAGACTTAGTGTGCGCTTTCAGGGAGGCAAAAGTGTCAAAGCTGCTAGGTTTGCCTCTCCACATTTCAAAATCACTACAATACGGTAACAAGAATGAGTGATACTACAAGCGACATCTGTTGGGAACCGCGCCAGGGATTCTCCTTCGGTGCGAGACTACTAGCGACATCTGTTGGGGACCGCGCCAGACACTCTCCTCCGAGATCGAAGACTGGTCCCGAAGGTTCTGGACTGACGCTATATGGCGTACGGGAACTTTCTCGAACTAACGAGTACCTGCGATGCGGAATACATAAGCCGACGACCGGGAGAGGGAAGCGGAGTTTAGTGAATGGCGCGACATAATAATTCGTAAATAAGCAGTCAGACATAAATAGTGGTGTACATAAATGTTCTAGCTAGTTAAGTTAAAGCTGGTTGAGTTGTGTTTTAAATAAATTAGTGCATTTCTTCCTGTGAAATCGAGTGTCTTTAATCCACACCCATACCAAAAGAACCCAGAAAAACGCTACATTGGTGTCAGGTATGGGGTGCGGATTATTGGACACTTAGCTTAGTGATAATAAATCGGACGATAAGTGAAGGTAAAATGGCGCGATTGGTTGATTTGAAAATTGCCGATTTAAAAAGAGAGCTGGAGGAAAGAGAGTGCGACATGGCTGGAAAGAAAGCGGAATTACAGGAGCGGCTTCGTAAAGCACTGATTGAAGAAGGCGAGGACCCGGATATTTTCATTTTTACCGGTGCAGGGGATATTGGTTTAATGCTGCAAAAGCTTTCGACCAAGACCACCGATCTTTTAGAAAACTCAGCCAAGCTAGAAAATAGGCTCGTGAAAAATTGTGCCATCCTAGAAGGAAAACTCTTGGAGTTGCACGAAACTACAGCCAAATTAGAAGAGAAGTTTTTGGAAAATACTGCCAATTTAAAAAAAAATTGAAATTATGGAAAAATCTTGCAAGGCAAACGGATTTTAGAAAGTTTGGAGGGCAGAATTCAAGAAGTGCAAGGCAAGTTTGCCGTTTTAGACGTCAGGACCATCGATGAACCATAGCGTGGATTTCCGTTGGAAAAATCAAGTGAGTTTGGAGCTTCTGTTGGGTCAACCGGTCATCTGCGAATGAAGGCGCCGCAATTTGATGGTACAACCCTTGGAATGTCTACCGGCGTCAGTTTGAGGCAGTCGCGAATGCAAATGATTATTCATCGATCGAAAAGACAACTTGCTTTCACTTTGGGCCTGCGAGGAGATATTGCAGCATCGGCTAAGATTCGACCATCCAAACGGCGACTCCGAACGGAAACGGGAGACCGAGCAAACGTGTACGGTGAAGCAAGCATCGCATTTGGAATAGGAAAACCTACATTCGAACATCCGGCGGTAGTAGCTGATATTGAGGACGAGGTAATCATCAGAATGGACATCAAGGACACAAAGAGCTTCGAGTTGAACTTTAAGCAATGAATCTTGAGAGTCAATAATGAGGAGGTCATTTTACACCGGGAACGGAAAGGAAACTTACGAGTTCTATTGCCCGAAGACACTGTGATCCCAGAACGAGGCGAAGTTGTATTGAATGGCTCGGTAGAGGGCCAGACTACAGACGTAGAAATAGTCATGTTTGAACCTAGGATATTGGCCGAGGGATAGCAATTGCAAAGGCCCTTGTACGTGCCTATAAAACTATTCCTGTGGGATTAATGAATGTCAGTATTATGTTGATTGCACAATTTTAGAACTTTATTTCATTTTTCCATATTTTGTTTCGCTTAGGGTAGGGAAAGGGTTGAAGATCAAACAGTAATATGTAACTTCTGTTTGGCTGCACCGATTTTCATGATTTTGGTTTCGTTTGGAAGGGCTTGCATCTGCGCTCCTACCCAAGACCCAATCTTGTCAAATTAGTTCACTTTGTGGCCTCTAAATAGGGTTATATGGATGTGTCACTGTTTTCTAAATTGTTTCCAAAATTTCAAATACAAAGGCATACGTTTTTAACATTGTTCGAAAAGAGCATACATATTCCTATAAGATGGCGAAAACCGCAGATCAATATCATTTTTCGTTATGGATATGTAATGAAAAATATGCTTAATTACAATTTTCAAGTACTACACGATAAAAAGAAAAATTCAAGCTTCGAGTAGTTATGTAAAAGGTAGCATATGATACGATTTTAAGTTATTTTACTTGAAATTTTCTCTTTACGCTTTTAATAACCGTGTCGCCTGATATATAAAACTTTTACCGCGTGTGGTAGTTATACCTGTATCTTGTAAGAGTACAAATTATGAATTCTTTAGTATTTATTGTAATATTATGGACAGGGTGTTTCAAATTCGACCCTCAATGGGGGCAAAGTTAAGTAGGTATTTAGGTAATCAACAAAATGCCGCTTAGAAAGTTTCAGAGATAAAACGACTTCCGGAGAGAGACGGAAGAAACCGAATTTTCCCAAAATCGTTTTAATTTTTCCCTGTCTTTATTTGCGGTTAGATTTCAATTAAATTGTACATCAACATTGCCACCTTCTCTCCTTTAAAAGAAGGAATAATTAATATTTCAATATGACGTTTCGTCTCTTGTCCTAGAGCATCAACTTTAATTTTTCTTATGCACGCCATATTTTTTTATACCGAAGCAGCAGCGCAGGCTAAATGCCGCAGCACCGCGGCTGCTATGATGATCCCAAAGAAATTCTGTTAATCCGATTTTTGAACTGCCCAAGGTTAGTAGAACTGGGAAAAGCTTCCTCTTGTAGATTATTCTACAATCTCGACACCCTCGGGACAAAGGAGCGGTCGTATCGGTCAGTTCCGGATGTACGAAGTTTGACACGGTTAGGATGGAAGGCCAAAGTCAGGCGGGTCTGTCTGGCAGGCACAACGCGCGGCGGCATCATGGAAGAGAGCTCTGAGGGGCAACGTCCGTTGGTTAGCGGTAGAAGAGCGCTAGATCGCCGACGGCCCGCCGGTGCGAAAGGGACTGTCTGATAGAGAAAAGTTATCGATCAGTCGGACAGCCCTCCTCTGGACAGCATCGAGCATAAATAATGTAGCCGGGGAGAAAGCACCCCAAACGTGTGAGCTATACTCGAGGCTACAGCTGATCGAACGCTTTCGCGGTGTCAAGAGCAACGACATAAGCCTCACTATAAGACTGGATGAGCTTGCTCCACAATTGCATGACGTAAGCTAGGAGGTCCCCTGTGGATTGCTGGTGCTGGAAGCCATACTGCCTGTCGCTAATCAAGCTGCGTATTCGAGGTAGTCCAGAAGCTCGCGATTTATGCACGTCTCCATCATCTTACTTATAACAGAAAGCAGAGCTATAGGCCTGTAGTTGTAAGGGTCGGTCTTAGATCCTTTCTTTGGGATGGGTTGGACTTGAGCAAATTGGATGTATGCCCAGATGAATAGAGTTTTTAAATGTGATTCTGAAAATCTATAATACGTCATACATTGACAGTGCCGAACCATACTTATTTTAAAAAACAGAATTTCGTAGGTAGGTATGCAATTTATTTTGGAATCCCATCTCAAATAAAGTCAGGAAAAATAAAGTGATTTTGGCATAAAACTGATAGGCGAAACAAATGATTGTCTGAGTTTCAAGGCCTACCTAGCAAATTCTGATTTTTTTGAAATAACTAAGGTTTGGCAACATTAACGTATGACGTACTATACATTTTTGGAATCAGAATTGAAAACTCTATTCACCTGTGCAAAAATTCAATGTGGAATCTATAAGACAAAATAAAGTTGATTCTGGAGGACAAAACGTCTATTGAAATTCTAATTATGCCAACTTGTGGATTAGAAAAGTGGCAATCTTGATGTGTAATTTCTTTTGAAATCCTACTACAAATAAGGTCAGGAAAAATTAAAACAGTTTTGGGAAAATTCAGTTTTTCCGTCTCTCTCCGGAAGTACTTTGAATTTTGAAACTTTCCTTGCGGGATTTTGTTGATTACCTAAATACGCAACTTTGCCCTCATTTAGGCCACTTATACGGTTTCCGAGATCAAAATGGTGAGCGTCGAATTTGAAACCCCTGTACAGCAGCTATTTCATTTTAAATTCAATCTAGCGTGCAATCGTGACATTCTAGAACAGAAACAAAAAAAACAAACTAAAATAAATTAGTGTAAGCGTCAAAACCGTTGAGGTTATCATTTTAAAGTTGACTGAATTTTCTAAAATGTCTCCTGAAGATGAAGTAGCGTCTGATATGCTTGCAGTCTATGTTGAATGCATGCAAAATGCAATTGATGCTGCAAGCGTTTATGCTATACAGACGTCACTACCACAAGCAAGTGTTCAGCAGGCTTGCACGGCGACTAAGAAGTACGAGACGCTAACAATTCATAATTTGCACTCTTACTTACAATCCCTATTGGTTATAAAAAGAGTAAAAGTAAATTCCCAAGTAATTATCTTGAAATTTTACATAGCTTGATTTTTTTCATCCGGTAGCACTAGTACTACTAGTAGTAGTAGTAATTTGAGCATTATTTCTCATATCTCTATAATGAATAAAGATATTAATCTGCGGTTTCCGCCATTTCATAGGATTTTTATGCTCTTGCCAAGTAATATTAAAAAAGTATGTATATATTTGAAATTTTTATAAAAAGACACATCCATGAAACGCTATCTAGTGGCTACAAAGTGAACTAATTTGACAACATTGAGCCTTGAGTAGGAGCGCCGGCGCAAGCACTTTGGAAATAAGCTCGTGAAAATCGGTGCAGACAAACAAAAGTTATATACAGGGTTTGTTCGGAAAGTAATAGGACTGAGTCGATTTAAAAAAATTTATTGAGCCAATCGTTGCAATTCTTTGAAAACTTTCCTTCTGCGTCGATCCAGCGCTGCCAACGCGATTCCAAGCATTGAAAGCATCACGGAAGGCATTCTCCGGAATAGCCTTGAGAGCCACGGTGCATGCTGCTTGGATCCCCTCTGTCGTCTCAAAATGCTCGCCTTTTATCGGCCTTTTCAGGCGAGGAAACAAAAAAAAGTCCGGGGGGGCACATCTGGGCTGTAGGGCGGCTGCGGAAGCGATGGGATGTCGGCCTTGGTCAGGTAGGTGTTCACAAGAAAGGCGGTGTGAGCCGGGGCGTTGTCGTGGTGCAACTTCCAGTCGGCTGCGATGTCTTGTCGGACCCGACTGACCCTTCGTTTGGGTCTCCTGAGCACTTCCACGTAAAACTTGGCGTTGGCGGTTTGTCCAGGAGGAACAAATTCATGGTGGACGATGCCTTTCACTTTGGATTTGCTCATTCTTCCCTTTTTTCGGCGAGGAGACGCCGTCGTGTGCCACTCGGAAGATTGCCTCTTTGTCTCGGGATCATACTCAAAGATCCACGACTCGTCACCTGTGATTACGTTATTCAAAAATTGGGGGTCACTTTCACACATGTTCAAATTTTCTTGGCACACTTCCACTCGCCGCAATTTCTGGTCGTCAGTGAGCACTTTTGGGACCATCTTCGCGCACACCTTGCGTATGTTCAAATGCTGTGTCACAATGTCATGAACCACAGATTTTGGTAAAACATGGAAAAATTACTTTCAGAAAGAAGTTCAAATATTGAGCAATCAACATAATAGAGCTATAAAATCAGTACGTTTATTAAGGATTTTTATAAAATAATGGCATTTGAATATTTGAAATTAAAAATACGCCCCCTGCCCCAGCCATTTCAGGAAGCTGAAAATAATTTTCAGCAATTTCATTCGACCATTTTTGTTATCAATTTTTTTAACGGATGGCTCTAGGTTAAGCCGTTGCTGAGATATAGCCGGCGTCCTTTATTTTTCGATCACCCGGTACAATGCAATGCAAATGTGCAGATTTTAAATTGATATTTAATGTGGTAACTATATTTCTTGTAAAACAGCTGTCGACACATGGGGAGGAAACAAGAGCGCAATCGATATCGCTGTACGACCAGCAGCTATCGAAGAGGTCAGTGCAATGCTAGCACGGAATAATATCAAACACGAAGTGATGCTGGACGATGTACAAAGGGCAATCAATGAAGAAAATCCAACAAGCGATGATGACACCAATGACCGAAAAGGTGAATTTTCATGTACTGAATTGAGCTGATTTATTTATTTATTACAATTTTGGGTGTTCACAGCTAAAGCCAACACACACACACAATTTTGCAAGAAAATATGAGTAACGTGTATTAAATTATGTGATATTAAGATATATATTGACTAAGAAAAATTAATAATATTATGATGTGATTATTGATTTAAAAACTTAAATTTTATTTTACGCTTAAATAGTGATGTTATCACAAAACAGCTCATCTTCATAAAGCTGATTGAAGGATCTTTGTACCGTTACTAATGGAGAATTTATACCTAAGTTAGTACGACAATATTGTAACTTAAAACATGTTATAATTCCTAAATGGAACAATACACTGAACTAGGGAAAGCAGATTATTACAGTTCGTCTAATCATATTAGACAAAAATACCAATGGTTTGCGAAATAATTATAAAGTCTGGTTTAATTGCTGCAAGTTGTTCAACGGGTATTCAAAACATGGACACATAAAATGGGTACACCAATTTTTGTGGGAAAACTTTTTATTCAGCAACAAAGAATGAGAAAACGTGTTTTTTTGGGATTCAATCGACAGTGTTGGCAGGAACGAAAAAACTCATCGTATAAGATTTGTAGGTATTTAAAAGACCTACAAAATGAGACCACACGGAAAAAGATCCGACTAATCGCAAAAAAGTTATGGCCTAAAACCGAGGCAAACTGCAAGATTCGGCACTTCTTGGTCATGCGACGATGGTTTCTCGCAGATACCTGAAATTCTCCAAATTCGTAGGACTCGTACTTCTAAATAACCACAACAAAATTGGAGTAGATTGGTGAAGTAGTTTTTGAGAATTATTTCTCCCAAAACACCGCTTTTCAGGCCATCACTACTAGTTTTTTGAGCAATACACAGGGTTAGTTCAAAGGGCATTTTATAGCAAAATACACGTATTTACCTTGCCGATGCGTCACGTTTTTTCTTCTGTTTGTTAGTAGTTCTCAACAAAATGGGATAGACACATCCGCTTTGTTTTAAAATGTGTTACTCAGAAATACGAAATGTTTGAATATGTTTAGACGAAAAAAACGTAACCTTTGTTTTTCGCATAAAAATAACATTTATTTTTCGGAATGGCTTGTGATTCAAACTAGCAAGGTAAACACTTGCATTTTGCTATTAAATGCTCTTTGAACGAACCCTGTACGTAGTAAACTAGCAGTGATGGCCGGAAAACTGGTGTTTATGGGATGAACAAATGGAAATTCTCTAAAAGTACTTGAGGAATATACTCTAATTTTGTTGTTGTTATTTAGAAACATGAATCCTATGGATTTGAAGAATTTCAAGTAGTTGCGTGAAATTATTGTCGTATTACCAACAAGTGTCAAAACCTGCATTTTGCCTCGTTTTTCGACCATAACATTTTTGCGATTAGTTGGATCTTTTTCGGTGGGATCTCATTTTGTAGGTCTCATAAATACCTAAAAATCTTGTCTGCAAAGTTTTTTCGTTTCTGCCAACACTTTCTAATGAATCCCAAAAAACACGTTTTCTCATTCTTTGTTGACGAATAAAAAGTTTTCCCCACAAAGATTGGTGTACCCATTTTATGCGTCCATGTTTTAAATACTCGCTTGAACAACTTGCAACAATAAAACCAGACTTTACAATTATTTCGGGGAAATTTGCTAATGTTATTAGACTAAGATGTAAATGTTATTAACTAGTTTGTAAATATAACAAATATCAGACATTATTCTTCTATTAAACAGTGATAACATATTAAATATTTTCATGATTGAACCATAATTTCTATTAGTGATAGGAGTGCCACATTTGAAGGCAAGCGTACGTAAGAACTTATGCTTTTCTTTCGACACGACTGTCTGGCGTAAAAAGAATTCCATATAACAGAGGCGAAAGAAAGTCTACTGAATACATATGAGTAATACAAGGAGGCCAGGGTTCTTGCATTTTTGAAGTTTTCACTGGTCTATTTTGTGAAGTCCAATCACTTATTCGCTTCATTTATAGTTTTCTCAATATGGCAATTAAAAGCTTCTCATCGATATAGACACCTAAATATTTAGCTACCCCTACCTGACGCAATTCAGTATTATCTAATTTATATTTGTGTTCTATTTTATTAATATAGTTAGGCACATATAGACACATTCATCTAAGTTCAGGAAAAGGCTGTTTTTGTTCGTGTAATCGGCTAAATGATAAATATCTTCTTGGATATTTTTGCAGTCTTCAAAGTTTCAAGCTGTCAACGTATAATAGAAATTAACAGTTTTTTATATTTTCACTGATGATATTATGTAAAAGGGCTCCCAAATGATTTCCTTGTGGAACTCTGGATGGTTCAGATTTATAGCCATTAAAATTAGTGATTTATTGTCTCTTTGTTATATGAGGCTATCCATTGGCACATTGAGTTCTCACCCACTGAAGTCTGACCAATAATATGGAATGATCTGTCCTATCAAATGCCTTGCTAGAGGCAGTGTAGACAACATCAACTTGCCACCCGTTGTCCAGTGCATTACAGGAGTATTCAAAAGGCAATAAGTTCGTCTCGGTGGAAGGTTCCTAACATTATGTCGTAAACACTTTTTTCCAGAAGCTTCGAAAATATACAGGTCTGCCAGATAACATTAGAAAGAAATATGAAAATATCGGAAGAAAAAATTGAAGCAATTTTTCGAAATTCCAAAATTTTAATTGCATTCTAAATCGCTATTATTTAAATAATATTTTTGCAATGTTTTGATTTGAGTTGAATATAGCAATGATTTTCAGGACATCGCCTTACTTGGCAAGCCTATCACAAAACAGCTGTCATTTATGGATATTTGGAACATCTGACTACAACGTATCCAAACTTGTGCAGTGTTAAGACCATAGGAATGTCGGTTCAAAACAGACCTATCAAGGTAAATTACAAATTAAGGGGTCGTATGGAATGCTGATTTTGTAAATGTTCATAAAAAAGTCTAAATTGTCGGAAAACGTTATTTGGAGTGGTTTTACTGGATGGATTTTTGCGATTTTTAGTAGAACGCGTTTAATACAGTGGATATTAAAAAGTGTATCCATTAATTTTGACCGCCTTTAATTTTCCAATATTTTTTTTCAATTTGCTTTTTATGTACATATATTCATTCATTTATGTTTATAATATACCATTTGATAGACCTCATCAAACTGAACAAAAAAGTGCATAAAAACTTATGTATTTGACGGCTTTGTTACTGAGATATAGGGTGTTCAAGTTCATTCCGTTCCTTACTTGAGTGATTCAGTTGAAACTCTGTGAATGGACAGTAGACATTATTTCTAGAGTCAAAAGTACATCCAAAAACGATAAAAAAGTTCCAATATTAAGTCCTAAAATGTTCCGTTACCAAGATATAGGGTGTTGAAATTTCTTTAATTTCTAAGGCACTGGTGAGACTGAATTAGGACAAAACATAAATATAATTCAAATAACGCTATGGTCAAATAGGATCTCTCTCCTAATATACTACAAACAGTTTTCAATATCAAACTTCTCTAATTCCACACCATTTCAGAAGTAGAAGTGGTGAAGTTTTTACCTTAAACATTGAAACCAATTCTTCGCCAACAGAAGTAGTCTGACAAAAATGTATCAAAAGACGTGATGTAAAATTGAATGCCGTATTCAAAAATTCCTTCTGCAGTGGCCAAAATTACCCAATTTCCACTCTATTGGTATAGTGTCTGGAACGAAAATATTTGTATGTATTGGCTATTCTATCAATACTACAGGTACAACATTTTAAGTCAATATCTTAATACAACCTGAAGAGATGATTTCATTTTAAAGTTATAACTTCAACACCTTGTATGCTGGTAAGGGGACATTTTGACACCCATGTGCATATGACCTTTTCGTATTTTTTTATACACTTTATGTATAACAGTGAAAATTGGTATACAAGGGTTTTTTGGTACGACAAAACGAACCATGGGCATAGTTTTACTGTAGCCGCTAGAGGGGGCTCTCTACTGTACCTGTAGTGACCGAAAAATTTTTCTTAGTGCAATTTTTTGCTTTTTGAATAAAAAAACTGATTCTTCGCACTTTTCAACATAAAAAAGCTCTCCTGTGAGTTTTCGATTTTTAAGGTTCGATGCATTTTTAATTATTTATGGGAAAATAATATTTCGAACAATATTTGATGTATAACAGTGAAAACTGGTATACAATGTATACAAGGGTATAATATTTTCAATTATTTGGCGATGCACTCTTACAAATACTGAGCGAGTTGGATGTCGTCTGTTTGGAAATCTTCGTGCGTATTCTCTGGCTGCTTCTGCTGCGTTTCCATTTACAAAGCCATACACAAAATGAATATCCGCTAACTCTTGGTTCGTTTTGTCGTACCAAAAAACCCTTGTATACCAATTTTCACTGTTATACATCAAATATTGTTCGAAATATTTAAAAAAAACTATTTTAGAAAGTAAATTTAAACACCCTGTATTTCGGAAGCCACGCATTTTTCGACCCATGTATATATAGACTTCATGCATTAATTTTAAAAGTTCTATCGAATCTTAAAGTTATGCAACAATAAACTGAATCACCCTGTATAAATTATTAAACTGAATGAGAACTAAAGATTCATGTGACACCCAATCTGCTTATATTTAAAACCTGAGAAACTAATGTTGAATAGAAACATTGTTCATGTGGTTTTTGATGTGCTTAAATTGCTACCGAAAATATCTATATGGTAGCATGACAGCGGCGTTGCCAGATCTAAGAATTCTAGTAACTGGTTCATTCATACCATAATTGGTAGAATGATGTGGAATCGTAATAGTTCTGTATGGCGAGTTCGCCTTTCATTAAATTTAAGATTTATTTACTCTTTTGAACAGAAAACATAAATCAAAAATTTTCCTGTTCTGCGTACTTATTGTCCTGAAGCATTCTCTCTCCGACTCATTTTAATAGTTGCCTGTTTTGAAAATTTACCTTGATACTGCTTCAATGGAGTTAATCTCACCAATTAAATTTGGCGACCATACCACTGTACTTCTACAGAGAGATGTTTGGTAGATCTAAAAATAATTTCCAATATTTTATATAATTTAGAAGTAATTTCTCTAATGCGTGTTTTAAAACTTAATTTAAAAACTTTATATTCAAACATGAGGGAATTTGAACTACGGCGGAAGCTTATGAGATCTCATCTGCAAAATCAAATAAGTGGTATTTGATAAATATTCCGCAACATCATTAACAAATAAATGGAATGAAACTGGACCAGTTTGAGAGCTTTGGGGTACACATGAAAGACATTTATGGTATTAGATAATGATCCAGCGTATCTGGCCATATTTTCCGGATTACCCTGTTTTTCTTCATATTGTTTTTAATTTTGTATTAATTGTTAAAAAATGTTATGATGGAGTGCATCCAATTTGGATGGGCAAGCTTTTTTATTCAAATTTTTAACAACACAATCCAAAAGATTTCACAAAAATCCATTAAGTAGAACCGGGTTCCGAGGTTTTGATATTTTTGTCTTGCAGAATTCGTATTACCTATGAAGTAACTCCAGCACTGTGTTGTGACTATCACCCACAGGCAATAAGAGAGAGTTTAGGTGTATGCATTAAATGTCGAGAGGCCGATTTCGATTTATTTTTTGTTTCAAATATACTTTTTATCAATTGTTTTCACACACAGCTACTGAAGATATCAAACGGAAAACCAGGCAACAAGGCCGTATGGGTTGACGGTGGTATCCACGCTAGAGAATGGATCACCCCGGCCACAGTCACTTACATCATCAACCACATTGTATCGAATTTCGAAAATGAGCCCAAATACATCCAGGACACAGATTGGTACATCACACCGGTTGCGAATCCCGACGGTTACGAGTTTACGCATTCTACTGATAGATTGTGGAGGAAAAATAGGGCTAGGTCGGGAGGACAGTGCGCTGGAACGGACCTCAATAGGAATTTCGGGTAGGCATTTGAAATTTCAAACATATGGTTCAAAAGCCTTTTTGTGTAAGTCAGACAACAGTCAACAAAAAATAGCACTCAAACCGGTTCATCTCAGAGAGTTTTTATGTCGGGGATAGAAACTATACAGATAAATGAGGCGTCTATAAGCCAAGGGGTATAAGTGCACTTTTGGTCAATTTGGAGATAAGTACAACAACACATTGTCAAACAGGCTTTTAATATTGTGGCCAAAGGGTACACGTGAATTTCCAACCATTAACGACATCTGTGGGTATTTCACTTAACTCCTCCAAATATTATGTTTAATAGTTGGCAACCACTGAATACTAGTGCGCTTGTACCTCTTGGCCTCGGAACAAATTCACTTATATCGTTTGGCCGCCAACTTGTTCACACTTGTTGAATTAGTGTTGGATGCATTAGGTTTCTAATTTGCAGTGTTCAGTTACCCTATTTAGGTGTTTTAATCAAAGAATTTGTACATTTCGATGTGCAAGGTGTAAAACTATAATAGTTTGGTGCATTACAGTCAAGAAAAATGTCAGATTCTTCCAGTTTACATTCTAAGCTCAATTATTTTGATGGTAAGTTAATTGATAATATTGCCGATTAGTTTAGTGCTTGTACCAGTGCGGTAAAAAAACAAGGACAACAAAAAAGCCTACTCTCCTATATTTTTAGATTTTTTCAACTATTGATTTTTTATGTCTATTGCATGCGTAGGTAGATACCTATTATAGTCTAGGAGATGTCTAGCAGTCTTTTTTTATGGTATAATTGTGATCCAAGAAACAGTTTTTTTTACCTACTACCACTTTAATATTCTCAGAAAATATTTTTGGCTGTGTATCTATTTTTACATATTTTTAGATGCAGATACCGACCCCGATTTTTTTTGTCCAAGTGATGATACGTCTGCGTCAAGTGATTCTGGTATGTATTTGTCTGTATGTAGATGAAAATATAATAAATTAATATTTTTTAGATAAAGATTTTTTGGAAAATGTGCAACCATCGACATCGAAAGGCAAAAGAAATTAAGTAATCCAAGTGAGTGGAAACGGGCGAAAATGAAAACTGCTCGAAATACAGGCAAAGAATATATTGATCGCAAGAATAAACTGCATTTGAAAAAATTTGTAAAACCCTTCATTCATACCTGCCGATTTAAATGCAATGGCAAGGTCAGTGAAGAACAAAGAAAACAATTTTTTGCAGATTTTTGGGGGTTAGGCAGCTGGGAACTGCAAACTTCCTATCTTAATGGTGTAATTAAGTTACTTCCAGTAAAGAGAAGGAAACAGAGTCTGTAAAGAATTTTTGTTAAAAACACTTGATCTTTCTAATAAACGCCTCCAAAATTTGGTCGATAGAAAGAAATTGATTTCAAGTGGTCTATCTCCAAGAGAGAATAGAGGAAAGCGACTGCCAGGAAACGAAATTAGCCAAGAAAGAGTTGATAATATAAAGCAACATATTAATCAGTTCCCGAAATATGTCAGCCATTACTCTCGGCACAAAAATCCCAGCTGTAGATACCCTGACCCTGGCCTTACTGTCAGAAAAATGTATAAGCTTTACCAAGAATTTTGTTTGGATAAAGGGGTCCAACCAGAAAAGGAAAGCTTTTATAGGTACATTTTTAACTGATAAATTACAAAATATAATTGATAATGGTGAAGATGAAGCAAGAAAAAACGCAGTTACCGAAAAAGAAGTACACTTACGCAAAGCAGAATCAGTTAAATTAGCTGGAAACAGTTTTAAAGATCTCGAAGATGAAACACATGTTGCAATTTGTTTCGACTTACAAAAGATGTTGCTAACATACCTCTAAAGCATATTATTCTCGTCAATTATGGACGTATAATTTCTGCATTCATGACATAAAAACAGGAGTTGGGTACATGTTTGTATGGCATGAAGGACAAGCATCCCGGGGATGTCAAGAAATCGCCTCTTGTCTTTTGAAATACATCCAAAGCCTACCAGAACATGTTAGACATCTTACGGCTTTTAGTGATAACTGTGGCGGCCAGAACAAAAGCAAGATTATCGTAAAATTCTGGCTGTACATTATTGCAAAAACGAAAATTAAAACAGTAGATCACAGATTTTTCATAACTGGACATTCGTTTAATGAATGCGATGGAAATTTTGGTCTCATTGAGCTAAAGAGGAAAAAAAACTGAAAGAGAATTTTTTGTACCGGAACATTGGGAAGAAATGATTGCTAAAACCAGTTCAAAATTTATGGTTGTTAGGATGACAGAACAGGATTTTATGAACTTGGATACACTTCAACCATTCTATAAAAACACTGTGACAGGGATACGTCATCCTGATACATTGTTTTTTAAAAACACCGTAGGAAATGACAGTTTGTTTGAGACTTACAACATGAAACCTGGTCGTCGGGGAAAGCCTCCAGTATTAAAAAATCTATCTTGTGAAACGACAAAGCCATTATTGAAACAAGTAAAATATGCCAATCTAATGAACCTACTTCAGTTTGTGCCCACAATTTATCACGATTTCTATAGAAATCTGCCCCACCAACAACAAGGACAGCAAAACACCGATCAAGGCACCCACGGTGATGTTGAGAAGGATGCTGATGAACCAGATACTTGTTTCGATAGCGATTATGAGTAGTTTAACGGATTCATATTGCATACGTTTTGTATTTTTTATTCTAATTTGATTTTGTATTTCTCAATAAAAATTAGTTTTTCTTTGTCACTATAATTTTTATTTACGAGTATTTGGGATATAAGTAGATTTAAGTTACTTATTTGGAAGGAAAAGGGTACAAGTGTTACTTATCAATATAAAATATCGTATAAAATGGTATATTTTTCTAAAACTGGTATTTTGATACTATTACATAAAAGTGTTTAAACTTAAAAAGGCCAAGAAATCATCAATTACTTAGAAAAATAAGCAGTCGAATTTAAGAAAGTTGTTAAACTTCAAACCTGATTTTCTCAAAACTAATAAAAATGCACTTATAGATATGCTTATAGACGCCTCAAATGGCATCAATCTTCCTTTGCCTACGTTGGAGATTTCAAAGAAAAGAAATCCTGATTAGGTAGGTTCATTTAGGTACGATAAATCTTTGACGTCTGCACATTAAACTACATAAAGGAAATTTATCATATTTCTGTTTCCATGGCAGACGTAGGAAAAACATGTCAAACAGGTGTTTAGTGTCACCGAGATCATCTTAATTATAGAGGGTATTTCTCTGACACAAAGCATGTAACAATTCACAACCATAAGCCGCATACAGCTTCCAACCTACAATTTTCATCCCCTTCAAACAATGTCTGAAAATGAGCAGGAATCTCTGAAACGTTAAAACACTATGTCGATTTTTTTCGTAGTTCTGGCGCCTATGAATCAATTTACGACTACCTAAATGATTGAAGTATTAAGATCGCACTTCAGTTTACAAGTTTTCTGTTGCTTAAAAATATCTGCATCACAAAAGTTCGTATTTCTCATTTATGTCGGTTTGTCAGTTCGTGTTTGTTGTATATCAATGTGTCTATATAAGTACTGAGTCAAACTACTTGGAGAAATATTCAGAATACCATTATAGATGAAGTAAATATTAAACGTTAGGTGAAATGCGTGGTACATTTAAGGATCATAAAATTCAGAAAACTATGCAAAACCATCGCTGAACGTTAAAGTGGTACGCACTCCTAATATCCAAATATGTATTGTTAAAATATATAAATATTCTCCTGAAGCGATGACACCACCGCAGATTCACCAATTGGAGTTTGTTACCGATTACGCAGTTGGCAACGATTGCAAGTTATTTCGAGCACATTTCATATCGGACATTTTCCCGTTGTTACCGTGATCAGGAGTTTCCTAATGATAGAAGGTCTTTGGCTAATACTAAAGGCATAACACTTACAACTCCCTACCCCCTACAACCCCCAACCCCAAGGTTTCAACCACTACAAAAAAATTTGAGCGATTTTTATTTTTTATTTTTTTCGTATTTTTGCCCCTAGCTCCGACGCCACTGGACCGATTTATCAAAAACTACAAAGCTTTTTCATCTCATAGTAGTAACCTAGTATGAAAATTACATCAGAATCCGAGCGGTATCTCTCAAGTTATAGGCGGATATAAGATTAGCGAATAGACCGACAGGCAGAGAGGCCGTCATCTATTCCGTCTTAACCCTATGGGCCCACGTGTCCCGGGCCCAGCGTCTCGGCTTGATGAGGGTCCCAAATGCCCAAAATTCAAAATGTCTCAGTACACCTCCCCTGCTCGCTCTTCAGGTTTCCCTAACAGACCAACAGCAATATAGTGCCCCGCCAGCCGCGGACGCCGAACTTCTTACTTTGGGTTGCTCATCCCAACGTTTACGTTCCACCCCCCTTCCATATTTTTCAGGTAGTTGAACCGATTTTTATCAAACATAATCAAGTGCCATATCGACAAACAAGACTTTCGATTTTAAAAAAAAACCTAATCGGTTCATCCGTTTGAGTTTTTGCTTCGAGGGGTGAAAATTATAATAAAAAATGCGTCAAGTTGGTTGACTCTGCACGCTGTCATTAGTTCATAAAGGATTAGGTAAGGGGCAAACCATGTGAAATAAGACTAATAGGTGCGAATAATTACCGGGGTTAGGAGCGTATAAATGCACTAATACTAAAAAATTGAGATTACCCTCCTCCAGTCCCGCAACCACCAACCCTCAACTTGTAACCCCTACAATTTTTGTCTTAAATGATCGGGAGCTTCCGAAACGTCAAAAAAAGAAGTTTGAGCGATTTATATATTTGTTGCCCCTAGCTCCTCCGCCTCTAGACTGATTTTGAAAAATTACAAGCCTTTGTCGTCTTTGGTATAGTAGTGCCGTGTGTCAATATTACATCAAAATCCGAGCGGTACTCCCAAGTTATAGATGGGTCAAGGATTAGCGGACAAACAGACCGACAGACAGACAACTGAAATGAGTAACATTTTTTTTTTTGGCGCTGTATAGGGTGATTCAAATTGGGTTTCCACATTAAAAGTATTTAAAAAAAAGAAGAAATTGAAAATTATATAAAAGTATGTATTTGTCCTTTTAGGGCAGTTCATTACAATTATGCTTGAAAGATGATATCAAGTAAATGACCGCCGCGGCTCATGTGGCATGACGTAACCCGTTTCGAGAAATTTTCCGTGGCACAAATCAGGTCCTATGTTGGTAATTTCGCGTCTGATCTCCTGTTTCAGCTCCGCAATTGTGTTCGGGTTATTCTTGTTGACTTTGCTCTTGAAATACCCCCAAAGAAAATAATCTAATAAATCACAGGATCGCGGCGGCCAATTGATATCGCCGTTACGTGAAATAACGCGACCTGGAAACTTGCCGCGCAGTAATTGTATCGTTTCTCCTGATGTGTGAGATAGGCTTCAGTTCCTGTGTTATTTGGACTCTGTATGGGTGTAACTTCAAATCTTTTGTTAAAATCCGCTGTGTAGTGGAATAAGTAAGGTCCAGTTGCTGCGATCGATGTCGAATCGAAGTTCTTGGATTTTCGGCTACACTTTCGACAACAATAGCAATATCGTGTTCCGACCGACCTCTACGAGCACGCCTAGGGGTTTTGGTGTTAGCGACGGATCCAGTTTGTTCGAATTTTTGCACCAAATTCCAAACTGTCCTCTCACAAGGCCGATTTTATGCGCCAAAAAATTCACGTAAAGCACGGCCGTTTTCATTATAGGCTTGGATAATTTTAACACGTTGTTCGGTCGCATATTACTTCATGACTGTTTTGTTTATATTTTGATGTTAGAAATGGCACGTTGTCGTTGACAAATTCAGTGGCGTTTCAAAAAAAAATGATTTGTAATGTGGAAACTCAATTTGAATCACCCTATAGATCTAAAAAACATAATATTCGATTTTCAAAATTTTTCCACAATGGCATAAGACAGCTGGACTGATTTACAACAGACATAGCTAAAAACCATCTCGACTAAAAATAAAGCCACACTCGAATCTGTCCATCAGGTTCATGTGTATCTGTATACATTTCAAAAATATAACACCCGCCATTTTGCGATGGGGGTTAAAAAAGGTATAATAACTTTTATAGAGGTCAGATACGCGGATATGAAACGTTAATATACAGGTTACAGCAATTATTGCAATACAAGATAACAACTCAAAATTACGATAAAAAAGATACAAAGATTAACTAAATAATAACATTTTTCTACTGAAAACGCTTGCACCCGTTTTTTGAAAGAGTTAGTCTCAACCAAGGATTTGCTATCATTAGGTAGTTGATTGTAAATAGTGGCACACATATACTCAGAACTTTTACGATAAGTGTTTATATTGTCATTAGGGATAGTTATGTCCTTATTGTCGCAAAGGTTGTACATTTACTGATCCCACATAGATACATACATTGGTTTGTAAACTTATTATAATTATTTTTAGCGATTAAACAAGCCTTAAGTATAAAAACACTGGGAAATGTCAATAGGCGATTTAACTGAAAGGTAGTTCTACAGCTACATAGCTTGTTTTATTGCATTTTTTAACATAGGCCTGACCTTATCGGAAAACTTTTCATAATTTCTATAAAAAAGAGGCAATAGTCGCAGCAATTGCGCTACACCAATATGAGTCAATACTGCCGATGGCCATACGCAAGCATTTTAATTAACCGTTCATACAAATTTTCAGATATAAATGGGGAGGAAAAGGATCATCAAAAAATCCGTGTACGCAAATATATGCAGGAACAGGACCATTTTCCGAACCAGAAACTGCCGCTATTCAACGATTTATTCAAGGTAAAGTATTATTATTTATCTTGTAGGATAAAACGTTTTTAAATATTCCATTCTGGGTCTCCAGTATGAACATGATTTCCAATTGCAAATAGAGAGTTTTTAATTCAACAAAAATAACGAATTAAGCCTCCGGTGCGATAGCAAATAACGAATACTGACAAAAAATAGATTTTTATGACAACTAAAGTTGACTGTCGTAATTTGACAGTACTGACTACTGACTGCCATATTGCTTATCTTTTTTATGTTGACGTGAAGCTAACACCAAAAGTTAAAAACCCTGTTAAATTATGTCATAAAACCACAAAAGCACAAGTGCACAAAACTAGCAAAACTACAACAAAAGGCTACCTTGCCTCATTGCATAAATATAACAAAAATCAGGACAATTCAATTTATTTAGAACACTGTCTATTTCTTGTATTTATTTTTATCGGTGATCTAATTCTTATATGTCTATAATATTTTGAACAATATTCTTTTATAATTTAAAATTCCTTTAGTTAAAACAAATCCACCAACAGCACTGAATAAGGAAAATATAACCTTATGAAACAAACCGTCCCCTATTCTCGGTAACTAACTGAGCTTTCTTATTTCGATAACCGATTACGGAGGATTGTCTCGCTACTACCATAACCAACCAGTAAAACAAGAGCACTAAAAACGCTCTAATATCGATTTTTTCTTTGTTTTATGATAATATTACAGTCGATTGTAAAATTGAGACATAAAACTATAACATCGGGCTAAACTTTGTAGGGCAGTAGTGCATTCCTGAACTAACGGTGACCTTGTCCTCGAGGATGTCACCACCTTCAAGGTTACTTGACTGTCGGAACTTATGAATATGCTGTGCTGGGGTGCACTGCTGAATTTCTTCTGAGTATGCCACGTCAAGATGGCAAATATATCTGCCTGGAAGATCGTTGTGTAGGTCCCAAGCGCAAAGCTTTGCCTTCGAAATATATTCCCGCCCCACTGGATCCCGTTTCCTTGGAAAAGGATCTATCGGTGAATCATACGAGACACTGAGGTGGGATTATTATTTCACCATTCTTCCCTCGAAGGGATGATGAGTGAATATTCTAAGTATGATCTTATGGCGTTCTTGGCCTTTTCCACTTTTACTAGATATGAGAGATTGCTCTCCGTCATATGCACCTTAGAATGACAAACCACCGGTTCTCGTATCGCCCACCTACCCTCATCGCGCATCCTTAGGTATGCAGACATGGCCTTCCGGTTTATACAGAATTCAAGTGGCAACCCTAAAATAACGTCAAGTGCTGTATCCTGGCCAATGCAGGACCTTTGACCTTTAGCCCCAGGTCCTGCCGACGGCTCGACGTAACTCCCACATGGACTTCTTGTAGATGTGGTCGACATGCTGCTTCCATAACAACTTGCAATCCAGTACCAGGCCCAGGTATTTTACTTATTGACTAAGGGTCAGTGGAATACCATGGAGGGTCAGTGACTTGAAATCCTCTACCTTCCGTATCTTGGTGAAGAGGATTCGCTCAATATTAGATGGGTTTACTGAGAGCCCTGACTTCACGCACCATTTTGATAGGATATTGCAGGCTGCATGCATTCTCTCACAGAACCCGCGTAAAACTTGTAAGAAACAAGTTCATCGTCTTCATTCGTCTGCGCGTAGAAGCCGGATTCGGTCAGTGCCTCCAGGAGGTCGTCCATAACGATACACAATAGATGAGGGCAAAGTTGACACAGATTCTATCAGTCAAAAAGGATTTGTGACCTACTCGAAACATAGTGTGTCACTATTGCTGTACAAAATTCTGCTTAATAAATTCTTTGGAGAGATAAATAAAACTACAGAATGCTTATTCTTTAACAAACACCGAGTAAAAGAAGTAGTTGTCCTACTGCCCAGTAGAGGGCGCGAGATGTTTGTTAAAGAATAAGCATTCTGCAATTTTATTTATGTCGTCAAAAAATTAATCAAGCAGAATTTTGTACAGAGATTCTAATTTTGTCTAAAACATGGAAGACATCAATACTACATCAATTAGCAGTGATTCCGATTGTACGAGAAGATAGGATCCAGGGCTATTATTACCGTATTTCGTATTACAGGTACAAAAGTGCCATGGAAAGCCTATGTCTCCTTCCATTCATACGGTCAATACATCCTGTACCCGTGGGGCTATGAGAACGCCGTGCCTACAGATCACCGCGACCTAGAGGCAGTGGGGCGGCGCGCCGCAGCCGCCATAACAGCCGCAGGGGGGCCGAGGTACACAGTGGGGCCAGCGGGATCGACGCTCTACCCTGCAGCCGGAGGGTCCGACGATTGGGCTAAAGGAGTCGCAGGGTTCAAGTATTCATATACAATTGAGCTCAGGGATACCGGCAGGTGAGTGATTCAATTTGGTGTCACTATGATTGAATTTTGAAGCATTGTAGGGCAAATTTTCCACTTCCGTCTCCCGTTGTTGCAAGCGAATTAAACTTTATACGCTTTGGTAATTTGAAGCGCTAAATGCGAAAACGATTGTAAAAAATGGCGTCAAGTTGGTTGACTCTGCACTCCCCACGCAACGATGTCATTGGATCGGAAGTTGGCACTCCTTTTTGCAGCACCCTTGATTATTTTCAGAGTTCTGAACTACTTTTGAATAGTTATACAGTTCTCAGGGGGTGCGACAATAGTTCTGCAGTTTCTTTGCGGAATTTAAAAAAAAAATGGGGGTGCTAACTTCACGCCGCACCCCTTTTACGTAAAACGTGAGTTCTGAGTTATGGATTTTCAAGATAGTGAATATTTCTACAGATAACAATAGTTCTCCACACAGTATGGAGTACCAAAACTGTTAAATCACAGAGCTCTAGCACAGAACCCCCTTTAGATACCTCTAGCACAGTGGCGGCTCGTGGTAAAAATTTTAAGGTGTTCTGCAATTTTTGTAAAAAAAAAAACAAAATAAGAAAAAGCTTACCTATTTTTTGTAAATTAAGTCTATCCTACGCTCTTTTCTGCTTGCAAATTTTGTAATCACTTTTTCATTAAAATTGTCTATTTTAGAGATAAACTTTTTCTCAATGGATAGCATGGAGAGAGCTGTTAGACGATCTTCAATCATTGAATTTCTGATAAAGGTCTTGATCCGATTTAGGGTTGAAAAACATCGTTCAGCCTCTGATGTCGTCATGGGAGTTGTTACCACAATTTCTAATAGTTTTTTAGTCTCCTTCAACGTATCTCCTAGATTGTTTGTTATTAAAAATTTTAGAAGAGGTAATGCGCCATTTAATGTCCTGCAATCATTTCTTGAATAAATAACAGACAGTTCGGTTCGTAATCGTTCTTTATCAAGTGTGGGATAAAAGGAACATACGGAAGTAAGTTTATCCTCGGGGAATTTACCGCAATACTCTCCAAAGTAGTCCGAAAAGAAAAGTGATGCAACTACTAAATGCTCTTTAAACTGAAATCGATCTTTTGCACAATTTATAATAATATCACACACCTCTAAAGCTGAAATTCGGTGATCAAATTTGCTGTTAGATGGACGTTTGCGTTTATTTTCTGGAGGCTCATCGCTTATTATATCTGATGCTTCACTAATGATGTTATCAATATTATTTCGAACTTGAATCATACTCCTTTCAAAATTATCAATAGCATGTCTTACTAGAGTGGGTTCGATTTTTCTTTGTTGCAATTGATTAAATAGGATATCTACGTGAGGCATCACATGATGAAAAAAAGTCAGCCAAAAATTGAAGATTGGATCATTTAATGTACGCCGAATAGAGGCGGCTGCACTACAGACTGTGTTGGTGGAGAATTGATCTTCTATTTCATGCATACACTCAATGAGAGAGGTTCTATTTTCATACACAACATTAATGGTGCGTATATTAAAATTCCATCTGGTTGAAGCGCCGTGGGGGATCCTTCTGTTCACAATCTTGTTCAATATTTCTACTCGTTGGGGTGAATTATTAAAAAATCCAGGAATGTCTTGTAAATTTCCAAAAAATACACGTACTTGCGAATTTGCAGAAGCAGCTTTAGACATAATTAAATTCAACTGATGGGCATAACAGTGTACATAGTGAGCAAAAGGATACTTTTTTTTATTAATGCTTGGACGCCTGCAGTTTGACCGCTCATCACCGCTGCTCCATCGTAACTTTGTGCAATTAGTTTGTTAGGTGAATTCTGAATTAAAGGATCTATAACAGTTAATATAGTTTTACTAAGTGTTTCTGCATCACATCTTTCAGGAATTAAGTAGCTCCAAAACCGTTCAATTGGCTCACCATCGCGAATATATCTAAAAATTAGTACCAACTGATATTTTGCGGCAACATCCGTTGTTTCGTCCGCCATGATCGCCAGAAATGAAGAATTATTAATTTCCTCAATTATTTGTTCACGACAGACTTCAAGCATACACTGTAACAAATCGTTCTGTATTTCCTTGGAGGTACCTTTAAATATCGAAGCATTCTTTAGGTGCTCGTTTAGAGTTGCATCTAATTCTGCCGAAAAATTTGTAAGTCCACGGAATATCCCCGGATTCTCTGAAGTATCACCCTCATCATGTCCCCGAAGGGCCAATTCAAAAGCTCCACAAAACTTAATACAATTTATAATTTTTGACAAAATATATCTATTCTTTGAAACATTTTCATTATGTCTCTGCACATTTATCCAGTAAGCAGAATCTAATTGAGCAATAATATTAGTTGACCCTAATAACGCAAATTCCATACAATTATGAAGATGACTTTTAGAGTTTTCATGTCTTTTTATCTTCAAACTCAATTGCTCTAGATCCGTGACCCCTATTTCTGTCCAAGCTTTATCGCCTCCAAAAAGTAAGCAGGGAAAACAGTATAAAGCATTTTTTTTGTTACATCCACAAATCCATTCATTTTTTGAATAAATGTCTCTATTAAATTTTCGTGTGTAACTTTTTCCTCTACTTACACCAGCTCTCTCAATAATAATATCTGGTAATGGTCTACCTTTTGCTTTCAATTCAATCTTTTCTTCATATGAATATTTAAAAAATTTCTTCGCATTAATTAAATTGAAGACCACTTCCATTGTACACACTTAATAATAATTATTGTCAAAAATACACAAAAAAAACCACAGGCACTGGCACTCTATTATTAATGTTTTTTAATCCAATGTCCAACCCACTGTAAACTAGAAAGTCGCGTAAAAACTCGATACTATATTGAATATTGACTATACTATTACAATAACGTTTATGCCGCGCTTCGCTGTACAGACTGCAGCGAATTCTCCAGGTTAAATCACGGCTTTGTTTTCGAGGGTAAGGGGGAAGCGGAGTGCAGCGGGAGCTTGCGTACGGGCTCTCAGAGCTCGGTCATGTGGCCCAGATAAGTAATAATTCAGGGATAGCGTGAGTCGGTAGGTTATTCCACTGATCGACTATTGACATTCACACGGTTCACGGTTCGCTGGGCGCTGGCATAGATACAGCAAAATATAATATAGTATGACAGAGATAGATAGAAAGCATCTACAACATCTCAGATGTAATATCTGAATTTAGCCATATCATTATTACGAGGGCGAATGAACAATATCATATTATTTGCTTTTTGGTAGGTATTAGAAAATATGTTAGTTAGGTAGATTACGTAATTATTTATTTTTTAAATTTATTATCCTCAGAGTTATTTTTTTTGGGAGCTCTGCAGCACTGCAGCACTTATGCACTAGCCGCCACTGCTCTAGCATAATACCCATTAAAATTTCAAAAGCAGAATTTGAGGGTACCATTAGAAAAAACTACCCTCGGTTGGGAAAAACAACAAGAAATACCTTGGAAACTACAAAAATTCACATAAAAGTGAGAAAACGTAGATTTCTCACGCAGCACCCCTTCAAATATCTTTAGCATAATATTCGGTACAATATCAAAAGCAGAACCCCTCCCGAGTTCTGCTTTTGAAATTCTTCCAATAGAAAAAACTATCCTTGGATGGGAAAATGTCGAAAAATACCTTCGAATGTATAAAAATTCACACAAAAGTAAAAAAAAGGCAGGGTTCTAGCACAGCACCCGCCTCAAATATCTTTCTGTGAAATTTCAAAAGCAGAGCTTTAGATATCTCCAGCATAATGTTAAGTGCAATTTCAAAAGCAGAAGCCGGGGATGTCGTTGAAAAAACTACTCTTAGTTGGGAAAAACGACGAGAAATATCTTGTAAGCTGCAAAAATTCACATAAAACGCAGAGTTCTAGCGCAGCACCCCCCTCAAATATCTTTAGCATAACATTCTGTACAATTTCAAAAGCAGGACTTGAGGGTGCCGTCAGACAAAAATTCCCTTGGTTGGGAAAAACGACGAGAAATAGCTTGGAAACTTCAATAATTCACATAAATGTGAAAAAACGCCCAGGTCTAACGCAGCGCGTATTCTTGGATAGAAGAGTCACGATTTCCTCAGTGATATTTCATTTCAAAAAAGCTGGACGTAAACAACAAGAATTAAAAAAAAGAAATGTGTGAGTTGATGAACTAGACAATGGGGAACTCTTCAGATTCAAGTTTCTCAGGTGACACAAAAAAAGCGAGTCTAATGAGAGGTGTTATTTCAAGATTCTAGATGCATTGCCATAGTGACTCACTATAGGCACTGTGTGAGTTTAATCACCTCTGCTATAGTACATTTGAATTCTTTCAAAAAATATCTAAATCTTGATTCATGTTACAGATTTGGATTTGTGCTCCCAGCAAGTTACATCCAACCCACAGCAGAAGAAGCATTAGCTGCACTACGTGTGATAGTAGAGGCGGCCCAAAAAGCCTAAAATGTGTTCAAAATGCATGTATTTGAAGAGACTTGTAGGTCAACTAATAAATATTTATACCTAATTTAAGATTACAAATATTTATTAAATTATATTTTTTTAAATAAATGTTTCCATTTTACTAGTGCAGTTTTTTACTACAAAAAAAAATTAATTTTGGTGACCCAGTTCAGGAGACATTGATCCAGAATAAAAAATCACAAAGAAAATAGATAAAAATAAATTAATGGGAATTAAGCTTTGTAAAAAAGAATACTTAATACATCCCCCAGCTTTATTCCCTCCAGACATTTCTGTTTTACTTAAAGTAGTAGAATTATATATCTGAGCCATCCACTAGAAAAATATTAATTTGCTGCTCTAAATAAGAAATAAGCCTAAAGTAAACATATTAGAATCAGAAATTATAGTTATATAGTTGTACAATATATATTAAAATACTACATAGACTTACCCTGACTTCTTGGACATTCATCTTAAGGCTCCTATTATCTTCTTCCAAAGACTTGATCAAGTTGTTTTTCAGCTCAATCACTTCACTTAACTTTATCAATTTCTCATCATCTGCCTTAACTTTAGGAACTGTTGGAACTACTTTATAGTTATTTGTATTAGGTATCTCAGTGGATGAAGAATCTTTTTCAGAGAATATATTGGAAGCAACTTCATCTTTTTCAGGGATCACATTACCAGAATCTTGCGACTGTTTTATAGAAGAAACAGACATACTGGTTTTCATCATCATAATATTTGGTTTTATTTTTAAAATCTCTCTCATGGAAGAAACTGATTTAGACTTAGAAATGCTCATAGAAGAATCTTTAACTTGTATATTGGCTTTCAAGCTCTTAATATGACTATTTGATGATTCACTACTATCTTTGTCATCTACATAATCAGATTCATGTTTGCCATTTGAAGATTGATTTGACTCTATTTTAGATTCCTCAGAAAAATCTTCTGTATAATCATCACTGTCATTACTGTGCTGTGGATCAGGGTCCATGGGCAGAGGACTAATACTCTTAGGAGTAGGTGTAGAATCTTTAGAAAGGCTGGATAACAAATCACTGATATTCTGAGAAGTTTTACTTCTTTGACTCAACTGCTCAAAACTTTTAGAGCTCTCCATATAAATACGCTCAGCCTCTTTCATTAAATCCTCGATGCTTCTTTCGCCTTGATTTTTGTCATAGGGCCCCAAAGGGCTCTGGGCAGCTACCCTATTTATTTCATCTATTATGCTGCCTACATCTACATCTTCTCCTGCATTGCTACTACCGTCTTTTTCAAGTAAATCGACGATGGAACTAGGGGATCTCAGGTCCAATTTAGGCACCACAAGGTTATTCTCAGAGTCCTGACTAACGGCAGAAGGGTTTTTCATCCACCAAAAGTTCGTCGAAGCTTTTGTATCCATGATAATATTGATTAAATCGCACTTGAGGTGTGAATAACAGCGTAAACGCACAATAGAAACAAGTGTTATCGAGTTAACAACTGTAAACACACACAACAACCCTTCAAAATCACCCCTTTTGGGTTGTTAATTTCAATTTCATCAGGGTTTTGTTTATATTTTGACAGCTGGCGTCTCAGCAGTCTCAGCACTTGACGGTTTCTTGACATATGAATTTTTGACATATATTCAATTATTCATTATATTTCAAACAGAAATTACATGGACTATTATAAAACCGTTGTACCATAGAGGACACTAATAGAATTGTTATTGCTACCATCTCTTATTGTTTTGTTGGACTACATTAAAATTGAATACAGGGATGTGTACAATTTTCTTCAACAGACAATAATACCAATATTAGATGTCGCTATTGAAACAATGTTGCTGCCATCTGCGCATCATGCAAGAAACTGTAATGCTCAACGCAAAAAGAAAACTGTAACTACGATTTTCACTGACGTTTTCTGACAAATGATTTGTCCGAATTCTTGTGATTTATATCGTGTGTACTTTTCTTTTGTGATTTGGTGATTTGACAGATTTCCGAAATGAATGTCAGCGAAGTGAAGTTCGTTGTTTTGTTGTGAAAAATGGATATAAAATTGTAAATTCCTTGGACTGCATTAATGTAATCAACCAGCTACATCAAGCTTTAAATTTAGGAAATAAAAATCAGGCAAAATGGACTATCTGGGTGAAAACGGGGGCCTTGGCCTAACCTCTGACCAAACAGAGAAAGTATTGCAATTCCAGGACTTAACGGGCATCGAAGACATCACGATATGTCGAGATGTGCTACAAAGACATCAATGGAACCTAGAGGTAGCTGTTCAAGAGCAACTGAACATAAAAGAAGGACGCCCATCTGTATATGCCTCCGAATCTAGACCCCCTGCAGTGGTCAGTGACCATTTGGGGCAACACATCTACTACACACCCCCAACTGATGGTTCTGGAAGTGGCATCAAGGGTTTAGTCAAGACAGTTTTTAGTTTCATGTGGAATATGTGTTACAATACCCTCATTACCATACTGCAACTTAGTCGTAGACTTTTGGGTAAGCTTACTTCACTTTGGTAAATATTTGTTCAATAAATATAGATAGCTATTAGGCTAAAATTTTCAAGGACATATTGAAGTTATTGTTTACCAGAATTTTTATTTATATATTTCAAACATTAGGCTGGGATTTGTTCAGGAGATTCTAGAATGTAGATTCATAATATATGTATGATGAGCGCATCTTATTTTAGAAACTCAAGTATCAAATTGAGAAAAAAAACAGGTTCTATAGCTTCCATCTGTCCAACTATAAATGAGCAACAGTGGACAGTTGTTTTGTGCTTTTTGGCAACTGATCAGATAAGTTTTCAGTGAATTTCCAGGGCTTTAATTAGGATTAATGTTAATATAATAGTTAGAAATATTATTTTTGATGTTTGGTTGCATTTTTTTAAATCAGTACTTCAGTATCGCTATTGAGTATTTATTCATCTTTCTTAAAACTCTTGCATATTAGTTCTCCTAACAGTTACCTAAATTGTTTTGAGAAATTCTAATGAGAAACATAATGAAGCTAGAAATATCTAGAAGGTCAAGTAAAAAAGGCATAATTACAATAGTAGAAAATTAATTTTTTCTTGCTAAGTATACAATTGAGGCTAGTCATACATTTGAATTCAATGAATTACAAATCATTAATCATATAAAATGAATCATTAAGGATATAAGCATGGAGTTAGAAAAAATATAGGTTTCTTTAGCCTAAGAATCCTCAATTTCATATCAGGCTTGATCCAGATGCTTCATACCACTCACATTAAAGCTACATTTAATTTATATTTTATATTCAATTGGTGCCCCAGCATTTCAAGAGGCCCCTGTCCTGATACTAAAAACTAGTCCTCCACAGCAGTTGCCTGTTGGTAGCTCACACATTTTTCTCTTGAATGTTTGTTCAATTTTGGACATAGTCTGTAAGTACTGAAGGCTAGATTAGTCGAATACAGTAGCTAATGTACCTGCTTAATGTAGGGTAGCCATAGCTATGGAGGAGGTATGGCTGTGAGCATTATCTTATGAAGCAACATATATGCTACTTGTTAACTTCCCTCAGCATTTCTCTTTAAAAGCATCTCAAAATTCTGAGTTTAGGTCTGACTAATAGATTTCTGTGCTTTTTTTTAATGTAATCATTCATTACCATAACAGGTGGCCTACTGACATTTTCACACAATGTCCTTTCACACTCAAAATATCAATAACAGCATTTGACTATATATCATAAAGAACTCCTCAGCCTCCAACAGTTGTCACAATATTTCAGTGGGCCCATAACCTTCAGGCAGACATTTTATTATTTCTCTTTCCCTTTGATCAACAGGATCCTGTCTAATTTTTGTCATACATGAACAAAAAGCACATAACATCCAAGGAGTTTGACATAAAAACTTAATAATTTGTTATGATAGCCTACTAGTTAAGATTACTTGTTGTACTGCCAATAACATTCTTTCAAATAAGCATCTACAAAGCATGTCAAACATAGAGGACCAGTGAGAAGTTAGCAGCCAATTTTCAGCAGCCGTTTTTTATATTAATTACAAACTTTTTGATAATTGTATCATATTTGTATTAGATTTTAACAACATATTGCAGCATTGTAATAGTGGTTCCACCCATACTGCAAATAATATTTTAAATCTGTTTAAATTTGTCACCCAGTTAGAAAAGTTGGTACAACTAAAAATGGATGAAAAGTGTTCATTTGGTTAGTAGCTATAAGCCCATGAAAGTCTCATGTTCATCCTCACAAAGGGGATCACTTCACCACATACATGGGAATATGGAGTTTTTTTCATTCTTCAGCTAGTCAAAAAAGATGCTACAATTTAAAAATGGATGAAAAGTATTTCATTTGTTAGAAGCTGGTCTCATCTTCTTTTACGAATTGAAATCAGCCTGTGCAATGAGTCTGAAGAAGATGAAACATATATATATATATATATATATATATATATATTGTACTGTATTTCTTTTTTAGCTTGTTTTATTAATATATGAACCTGTATACATAATTCGTTATAGCATAATCAAGTCAAGTCAAACATTGAGTTGACTTCAACCGGCATAGCACAGGGAAGTATACTTGGGCCCATTTTGTTTGTAGTTTTTTTAAACGATCTCTGTTTTGTTACTAGTGATGATCATAGCAAGGATAAAATTATCTGCTATGCTAATGACACAAATTTAGTGTTGGGTGGGACAAGTGTAGAGGACCTAACTGCTAATGGGAATCTCTTATTCAGAAGTGTGAATACATGGTTTTACTGAGAACAAACTAGTGCTGAATAAATCCAAAACTGATGCAACATTATTTAGAACTAAGCAGAGTAAAGTTGTTAAGCCACAATATATCGATATAGATGATCATCAACTGCAGTTGAGTGAAAGTGTAAAATTCTTAGGCATCTATATTGATGAATTTTTAGATTGGACAACACATGTATTCGAACTGCTGAAGAGGCTCAATTCCATTTGCTATGGTTTTAGGGTGATATCAACATATCTAAATAATACGAGAATGAAAATATTGTACCATGCTAATTTTGAAAGTGTTCTAAAGTATGGGATTATTTTTTGGGGACGCAATAGGTTTATTCAAAAAAATTTTGTTGTTAAAAAAAGAGCAGTACGTCTGCTAAAGGGACTAAATTTCAATGAAACTTGCAGGGGGGTGTTTAAAACTGAAAAAATCATGACTGTGTATGCCATCTATGTGTATGAGTGTCTTGTATTTTATTTCAAAAATAAAAATTTATTTGAGCTTGAGGTGCAAACTGTTTATGATACTCGAACAGTCAATGTTACTTATCCAATACACAGATTATCCTCCACAGAAAAAAGCCCTATTTACATGTGTTTAAAATTTTTTAACAATCTACCAAATGAAATTAAAAACATAAACAGTTTACATAAATTCAAAAAGACTATTAAGCAATTTCTAATACAGTCAGAGCCTAATACAATAGATGAGTTCTATGGGAGTTGTAATAGTATATAAGATAGTAGCTGTTTTAAGATAAATTACCATGTAACACAAAAAAAAGGTCTCGGGTAAACTACTATAGTTATGGTGACAGTGACGCAACATTTCATTTTGTAATGTCATTAATACTCACTTATACATAAATAAATTCATTAGACTCCCTTCAATAAAAAATTAATTGAAAAAAACTGGAACTATGAAGGACAAAAATATATAGACAAATTCTTTTCAACATTAGTTTAGTACAGTTTCGTGTCAGAAGAGGATTAGTTTGTGTTCATCAAGTATTGTGAAATAAATTAAGTGATTTTAAGACCATACCACGTGGTCCAGAAATTTATTTCGATGTGAAAACTAAGATCATTGAGTTATACAAAGGTGATCAACGACAAATCGACAATGCCAAAAATTTGAAGCTGAAGCCTAAAGCAGTTTGGGCTATTGTCAATATTTTGAACAAATATAAACAAAAAGGTATGTTGGAAGCCTCTAAGAGAAGTGGTCTGCCTAGAAAACTGAATGCTAGATCAGTGAGGTTAATAAAAGGAATTTCGTCCAAAATTCGGATTAAAAACCCAAGACAAATAAATGCCGAAATCGAGACAAAAGGAAATGTCAGTGTTTCTACGAAAACTATAAGTAGAAGATTAAATGATTTGAAGTTATTTGCACGTCGCCCGAGTAAGAAGCCGCTAATCTCGAGGAAAAACCGTAAGGACCGATTACAATTTGAACGGTTGCATCTTGATTGGAACATCTGTGACTGGAAGAGGGTATGTTACAGTGACGAATCCAAGTTCAATATGTTTGGATCAGATGGTGTTCATTATGTTAGACGTCCTAGTGGACAAAGATCGAAACCCAAGTACACTTTGCCCACTGTCAACATGGAGGCGGGTCTGTTATGGTTTGAGGGTGCTTTTCGGGGTTTGGGACCTTTACATAGAATAGATGGCATTGTGGATAAGTTTGTATACACAGACATACTAAAGCATGTCATGTTACCCTATATGGAAGACAATATGCCCTTAAGATCAATCTTCCAGCAAGATAATGACCCGAAGCGCACTTCAAATCTCGCAAAGAAATTCTTTCTGGATGAAAAAACACCAGTTCTCCCGATATAAACCCGTTGAAAATCTATGGGAATACTTAGATAAGCAAATACAAGATAGACATTTTTCAAACAATGATGAACTTTTTGCCGATTTAGAGCAAAAGTGGAGACATATTGATGAATCTTATATCAAGAAACTTCTACAATCTATGCCGAGACGATGCCAGACGGTGATTGATAATAATGGTTATGCTACAAAATATTAAGACAAACGTGGTTGGTTTTCTATAATTCAATGAACTTTGCTTCTTTTTTCTATAATTGTTTTGCTTTGTCTATATATTTTTGTTCTTCATAGTTCCAGTTTTTTTCAATTAATTTTTTATTGAAGGGAGTCTAATGAATTCATTTATGTATAAATACAGCGGGTCTAATTTGTGCTGAACATTTTCTTTATGTACTGATAAGGGCGTTCCGTGAGAAGTGCAGAGTTTTCCTACTTGACGCCATTTTTTAGACTGTATTTTAAATATTATTTGCATTAAGAGTGAAACCAACCCTATAAGATGGTATGGTGTTCAAATCTATTAGAAAGACAATGCAGTGATCAAAAATTCTGTAGTTGGAACAAAAAAATGACTACCGAAAATTGGCTGCCACCTTCACTCGAATGTACGGAAGAATTGGCTGCTAGAAACTGGCGAATTTTGATACTGGTACCATACAGATCTATCCTCATATAGGTTTTTTCACTGTTTTTGGTGGATCACAGTAAAACTACAGGAACTATTGTCATATATCCATGTCCCTGCCACATACATATGCAGTCAGGCTCTTTGCGCAGACGTTTCTTTGTGTGTAAGTTCACAGACATTCGCTATTTAGTTATTTAGTTTGATCTCATTGCCTTGAAAATGTTCTATGTTTGTCATTGTCAGCATGACAACTTGCTTGTGATGAACATGCAATTTGGGTTTACCTCTTGTTAACCTTCGATACCTTTGAATGTCGACAGTTTGTGTTGAATTCATTGGAGTGTTTTTGAAAAGTAGGAGAAAACCTCCCGAATTCAAGTGTCTGTGAGACAGCGAGTGTCAGCTACGTCAAAAATAGGCTTGCGTGGTGTATAATTTCCCTTAGCTCTGCACATGGTCAGTTGATCAGTCTGCTTGCTTAGTTCGTATGGCATTGAGACCTAACCGCCAAAAACCATTAAAAGAACTATAAACATGACTGATGTCTATTAAATGTGGATATGTTCATCAATTTTCAACTTTTTCCTGACAGGTATAGAATTTAGGCCAAGGACAGACCCTGTTCAAGAAGTGATGGAATTCATAGCTGCATATGAAGAGAAGTATTCTCAGCAGCATCCTGTGTTCTATCAAGGAACCTTCTCTCAAGTATTGAATGATGCCAAGAGAGAACTCAGATTTCTGTTGGTGTACCTGCACAGCCCAAGTGCCCCTGACACAGACGCTTTTTGCAGAGATACATTGTCTAATCCTGATATCATTAGATATGTTAACCAACATTTTCTATTTTGGGGAAGCTCTATTAATTCAGATGAGGGGAAGAGGACAATAAATGCTGTTAAAGCTAGTCACTATCCTTTCCTGGCTGTACTGGTTTTGAAGGAGAATAGGATGACTATTGTTGGTGAGTAAAAAAACTTGAAAATTACGTATTATCTATTTGATAAGAAATGATTAGTATCCATAAGAAGTTTTTTTACCTTGTAAATAGTTCAAATTCTAAGTTGATGGATCTATGTCATTTTTGCATTTGACCATTTTAGAAAGTGTGTATGTTTTGAACAGTATTTTCTCTTTATGTTAGTACTTGTCAAAAGTTCGCAGTTTTGTCCAAAATTCAGCTATTTTCGAATTTTTAACTTGGTTATTTCATATGAACGCATAGTCACAACATTGATTGCTCAAAATCTATGATAAAACACACTTAGGCCCGATCTTACTAAGCCGGGGCGTAAAAAAGCGCATGGTCACAAATCCAACCGAAGAGGAGGATCTAATGAATATGGTCGATTTTTTGTAAAATGTCTCTGAAACTAGAGAATAATTATACGATTTGTGTGAGATGGGTCCTATATTGAATCAAGAAATACGTCATAAATCACTTGGTTTAGCTATAAAAGCCTATTTTTTCATTGGGGCACTAAATTAGTGGCCATGATGATAAAATGCACCAACAAAAAAGAAGCATTTGTGCCATACTCAAAGCATTGATACAACGATACAATATCTAGATTGATATAATAGCAGTTAAATGAACATTTTATTGAAAATAACAGTGTATGTTGATATACAAAATCCTGCTTAATAAATTCGTTGAGAACATTGATAAAGTTACAAAATGCTTATTCTTTAACAAATATTGAGTAAATATTCACTTTACTTGACTACGGTGCGAAAAACCATGTTCCTTAAGCCAGCCCTGTTAACAGGGAGCTTTCACGTCCTCTACTGGGCAGTAGAACTACTAGCCGTGGCACCACCACCATGGCGCGGCGTGGTCGCGTAATCGTCCTACAGTCTAGTAGAGAGCGCGAAATTTCTCTGTTAACAGGGCTGGCTTGAGGAACGGGGTTTTCCGCACGGTAGTCCAGAACAATTGATTATTTACTCGATGTTTCTTAATGAATCAGCATTCTGTAATTTTATTTAGATGAATTTATTAAGCATAATTTTGTACAGTAACAGTACACACTGTTATTTTCAATAAGATTCTCAGTAATGGTGTCATGTCAACCTATTGTATCAGGTTTGATCCACGTTTCGAGCAGGCAGGGTTGAAAAAAAAACATGTTTAAAAAAAGACAAAAATCATGTTTTTTTGTTTAAAACACCCGTTTTACACATTTTGATTAAAACATAACCCTGCGAGTAGACCATAAATCCTTTCTGATTGGTGGAATTTGCGTCAACTTTTGTGTCCTGGCACAAATCAAAATTAGTTTTTTGTAGCCGAATCATGTGATGTGATTAATTTACTATGAGAATTAGGAACCATTTTACAAGAAATCGACCAAACTCATTAGATCCACAACTTCATTTTTATTGGTCCAATTTGTGTCAAAGGTGCAAATTTTGATTCCCGTCGGTCAATAGTAAAATCCCATTTATAAACGAAGCAGATCGGTTTACCTATACGGCACCCGGCGCCTGACTTAAACACAGATGCATGACGTATCTTTTCACCTAATTTGGGATTGATATCGCTGATTTTTAAAGGCATCTAATAACTCTGTTGTCATAACATTTTGATATCGCAACTTTGCTATCACTCTGTATATTATGGTTTTCAGCTCGCATGGAGGGCTACGCAGACCCAGGTCTTTTAGCTCAACGATTGCGTTCGGTGGTGGGCGAGTACGAAATCAACCTAGTGTCAGCGCGAGCGGACCGTTTTGAAGCAAGCGTGAATAGGTCGCTGCGTAGCCAGCAAGATGAGGCGTTCATGGAAAGTCTGCGGGCAGATCAGGAGAAGGAACGTCGTAGAGAGGAGCAACGTAGGCAACAGGAGGAGGAGCAACGCAGGCTTGAGGAGGTGAGTTGTTATTCATATTTTTTTCTTGGAATTTGATTGTGTGTATATAAAATGATATTCAATAATTATATGCAGCAAAAGGTTTCACTGAATATTTTATTTTATTATGAGTTGAGCCACCTTCAATTAGACAGACGGCAAGACATAACTTTTGGTAATACTCCTAAAACTTTTGGGAAAACATATGCCTCCATTACTTTTTAAATAGCAGAGGGAAGCAAATTCCCCAAAATTGTAATCAAAATCATACCAAATATGCAAATTTGTAGTCCCCAACCGGATTCTCAGTGAAGCTACGACAGCACCCACCACCCCTTCCCGTGCACCTACCTGTGCGCGCCCATGCATTGTAGACAAATGCCTATGAGCTTCTTGTAACTTGAAACAATTTTTTTCAGGAACGACGAGCCGAAGAGGTACGACGAGAAAGCATAGCCCAGGAGAAAGTGAATTCAGTATATAAAGTTCCTGAAGAACCCTCAGCCTCCCATCCAGATGCTGTACATGTTGTTTTTAAACTACCTTGTGGTACAAGATTAGAACGAAGGTTCTTGAAATCACATTCCTTGGAGGTATGTTTTGGTATAATTTGTAATACTTCTCTACTTTCCTTAACCAGATCATGTTTAGCCTTTTCGTCGGCCTCGAACACCAAAGCCTAATTATTAACCATTAAAACTTGACGTCGAATCTGCCAAACCTTCGAAGATCAAAATAACTTCGTCTACCACTTGATAAAGAGGTGATGTTAAAGTTAACATAAAATAGAGTTTTTGTTGCACCACTCCGATTTGATGTAACACCTGAAACTTATTATGTGGTTTTCAAGTTGATAGCACTCAATTGTCAAATCAAACCAAATATGTTTTAATTATTGTTTACTGTACGACGTATCAGTCACCACAGTGGTGTTTTTCAAGCACAATGATAGTTAATGAAAATATATTTTGTTTATGTGTCACCTCGAAGACAGTATTTCCAGGTCTCAAAAAGCTCAGATGCATTCGGGTTCAATACAAAAATAATAACAACTACAGCCAACTTAATTATCATTTTTTTGACTAAACTGTTTAATATGTTCATTAGGAATAATATATTTCCCGACAATTTTAAAAACTGTAAAAGTTGTTCCCATTTTCAAGCAAGGTGATAAAGTCTATGCAACAAGCTATTGGCCCATAAGGATCAAATCTTTGAATACTTTTAATCCAATAATTTATTTGAATCTTGCCAGTTCAGCTTCAGAAATAATGACTCAACTTCACAAGCTATCAATATGCTTGAAACTATAATCCAAGCTTTTGAGATATGTACTGAAATCAGCTGGATACATTTCTTCGATTTAACATACTATTGGGGAACTTCCGAACTTAGTGGAGCAGTCCACGCAAAACCATGTGGCGGGCCGGATTGACAAGCCCGAAGGGTCGCACTTGACCCGCGGGCCGTTGTTCGCCCTTGACTGGTCTAAGTACTCTTACAGGGTCGACATCAAGCCGGAACCGGGGCATAAGCCAAGTCATAATAGTTATCAGAAAAATATACTGTACTTTTCAAAATATAGGATTTAAAAAAATCGGAAAAATCTACACCCTGTGATGATCTTTTAGTTTCCATTGCTACTAGTTTCATTTTTTTCTTAGACAGAATGACGGATAGTGTCATACTACGTAACAGCAATGCGAATTTGATATTTTGTGGTGTGCAAATAGTTCATTCCACGTTTGGTTACTATGATCGCTGGTCTCTGAGGTTTCAGCAACACGTACAGCTACAAAACGAATTCACAACAAGTGTACAACAGCTTGTGCTAATTTAACATTTTGTATAACAACCTACGGAATATCAACAAAAAAATTGACGAAATGTCACTTTTCAAGATACGTAATACCCGTGCGGTTATCTTCCGTTATTAACAAATTGGGCTGCTTCCGTTATTGAGTAGACTTTTTCTTTCACCGCTCCCCAGTAACAAATCGAGTGATTCGAGTCAGATGAACTCGCTGGCCACGAAATTGTATCAGACCTCCCTATCTATCTGCTCGGGAATTCCTCATCAACATATTCTCCAACTTAACGCGCATAATGCTTAGTTGCACGTCTTCTAATAAATCTTGTAATGATTTTGTCTAAATAAATTGCGCCATTCAAGAATTCTGGCAGCTCAAAGGATTCAATGATTCTCTCATTTGAATTCCCGGTCCACATGTTTACTTTAAAACGATACCGAGATCTATCTTGTCTCATCAAATGCGGATTTTCTACATGCCACTTGTATACGTTGTGTAGATTCATTTAAATCTCCACTAATCGATCCATAAAATTTTCTCTAAAAATCGCGGATCTTCCCGGTGCATCAACATTGACAAAACTCAACTCTTGGAAGATAAATAATCCCGGAGTTTTAAAGATTGTACTCGCTGTACGTAGTACGGGTGGAGCTCGTTATTTCGCAAGATTCGGTGGGTCTTCTTCGACTGCTTGTAGTACGACGTCCTCAAGGGAAAAGAAATTCTTCCTTCACCATGTGCTTGATTTGGGAATTGTCCCTCTGAGAGTAAACGGTGCATATTCACAAAAACTCTGTGATCGGCATTTGGATACCTTTCACAATATAGCCTAGTTGCCGCACTAGCATTGTATCTACATACCCCATAAATCAGGTGCGTGTTGGCGTATTCCTGCATGTTCTACACAGTCATGGTGGCACTACACATTCTTGAATTACATCAATTGATAGTAGCGGCGTGACTATCTGTCTTATCACTATGTGGAAATGACACTGTTCATTACTCTGTTTAAGAAAAATTGAAACTTGTATTCAGAACTAAAAGATCATCACAGGGTGTAGATTTTTCCGATTTTTTTAAAGCCTATAATTTGAAAGTTCACGACTTGGATTTTTTTATTGGCCTATCCCCGTTTCCGGTTTGACGTCGACTTCTGGGACACCCTGGTATATTTGTCATTTATTTTTAGGCTGTCTTCTACTTCGTGTTCTGCCATCCAAATGCCCCTGATTCCTTCGAAATAATGACGAACTTCCCCAGACGGGTGCTTAACTGTCGCCCTGACACAGCTAAAGTTATCACACTGGAACAAGCAGGGTTGAAAAATAAAGAGGTGCTTTTCGTGAACGATTTGGATGCATAGGAAGCGGCATTTTGGAAGAAACAATGTTATCTCTTAATGAATATCTTGTAATTGGTTGTTCGATGGAATATACATACTGTTACGAAATTCATTTCATCCTTGTTCCTAAAGACTGTTCTACAATATGCAATTGCTTGGATACGATTTGGTTGGCTCATGTTTACAATTCTGATGGTACTAGGAAACCTTTTTGAAGAATTGTATTTTTTATAATAAAGATTTGTTTTTTGAGAGATTTGGAATGTGTGTAATATACAGGACGTTTCAGAAAATGTGACAATATTTCTAGGGTAGAAAGTACTCCCAAAAATAACAAAAAGTCCCTACAAACATAGGTCCCATTACCAAGGTCCATAGGATGTTCTAAATTTCTACGCCACTAATAAGACTGAAAGGACACAACATGGATATTATTCATATTTATGGTGAGCTAGGATTATTCTTATACACTGGATACAAGATGTAATGTCTTCACTAACTTCAGCGGGCTTCCAAAAAAAACGCGTTCTAGCTTTTTATATCGATTTAACGTCAAATATTCAAACCAATTTTTCCTGACAAAAATTTATCAGTAGAGGAGATTCCTGTAAAATCAAGTACCTTCTTCAAGAAAATGCAATAGATGTTCCAAAAAAGATTGTTGCGTAGAAAATAATTTTCATTTTCTTCTGTAGTAGTCAAAATATCCCAATTTCTACGCCATTGGTATCGTCTCAGCACGAAAATTATTCTATTGGCCAGTATTACTTGCACAAAATTTTAAGGAAATATTTCAATAAACTCAGAAGATATATATTTTTTAGATTTCAAATTTATAATTTCAACACCTAGGTAAAGTGGCGTTTTGGACTAATGCTTATATGAACATTCCATATAATTTTTTTATATACTTTATGGCCTAGAAATATTGGCACGTTTTTCTGAAACACCCTGTAAACGAAGTTCTACAACTCGCAAAAAAGTTGGACCAAACCGCAGTCGAGAAATTGTGTAGTTTAGAACAATCTCAAACTGCCTCTTCACATTTTTTTTCTGCTTCCAAGAGCTGGGTATAAATCTTTGACGAAAACTAAAGTGTAATTATTGAATAGTGTTTGTGATGTAACAGTTCTGATAGTGAAATACTCAATCTTTATTAATTGGTAGATGTTAACTGTAAATTAATGAAATTTATCTATATGATAGTTATCCTGACTAAAACTTCAAATTTCCTTGGAAAGTGGTTTTTCGAGTATCCCTATACTATGTAGACCTGGTTGTTCCCAGCTCTTAGTAGCAAATAATTGGTACCTTAGGGTACTATATTTTTGAGCATTTTCCTCGTCATGGAAGGCTTCGGCGTTAATTTACTATTTACAGAGTTAGGGGAAATATGTTGTAGAATGGTTTTATTATTTTTTTATGTTATAAAATTCTATAGTGATGGCGGAACGAGATGCAGCGTGCAATATTTTAATTTTGGCAATAAATGTTGAGGCAGTGAAAAAGTATAAAGCAACTTAAGGTACAGCTTTATAAAATTCTGTAATTACAAAATATTCAATCATTGATTATCAACATATTCTACCTGAAGATAGCCAACCATACACTGTATTCCAGCATAGACAAAGGGATCTGAAAGATACTAGCGTCATCTATGAGACAGTAGCAGAACACAAAAAATAAATTTAAGAATCCACTTAATTGGGTATCTTCAGGAATTGATTAACATATCCCACCTGCAAATACCCAATTAAAATAGGCATTAGGAATGGCTTAACAAAGGTTTGAAGATCCTAGCGCTATCTATGAGATTTTTAAAATCATTTTTGTTTTCTGTTTCTCATGGATGGCGCGTTCAGTATATGGTTGGCTGTCAAAAGGTAGAATAAGTTAATCACTGATTTAACTCATTGCGGGTTGTGGCAGAAATGGTGTCAGGAGAGTCAAAAAATATTTTTTTTGTCATCTTTGAAGTCCTCTATCAGAAAAAAAGGGTTCACATTTTTGTCTTTGTATATTGCAAGTTGTACTGCCCAAGAAGATATAGTAATTTAAAATAGATTATTAATTTACAGAAGGTAATTTAAGATATTAAATAAAAAACGTACATGGTCTGACCATAAAAAATTGCACATGGTGCATATTTTTCTTCATGATTATTGATGTGTCATCAGTGTATCAGTGTAGTACACAAGTGTTGATAGAATCAGTTTATACAAGATTCCGGATACATCAAAAATGATATAACAAAAGATATAACTAGTTTCCAGTCACTATAAACCAATTAGCATTTAACAGAAAAATACATGAAATGTGATTAAGTAGTAGTTTTAGTCAGTAATCAAGCATTTACATTATAACAATGTGATTTTTGTAAGTAAACCTATATTTTTTAGGAATACGAGGTTTATATGTATTTTGAATAAACACTTCTTTTTGTTTCCATATGTAAATATGTAAAAAATACATAATTTTGTTGTTAGTCGTCGCATTTTACTTTTTTGATCCCACAACATTTCTCTTGGGTATCTTAATCATGGTTGAGGTGAAATGAAAAACAATATTCACGAAAAATACATATTAATTCAATTACTACAATTGTACTTAAAATGACTTATGGAATCTGAAAGTGCATACAACTTTTTGGAAGATCTCCGTCATATTTCATGTTACTTTTATGCATACTAACATCATAAAAGAGAAAAGGCTTTAACAATCTAGAAAAGATAAAACCTTGGCTCATAAAATGACAAAGTTATACACACTTTCAATCAGAACCAAATGAAAAGCCATACATTCTTTTAATCTATTTCACCCAGATATATCTGTTTGTCACTTCCACCTGAAGCAATTATTGGTTCATTAGGATGAAACTTGACATCATTGACGTTACCATTATGCCCAGGCAACTTATACAATATTCTTCTCGAATTCGTGTCCCAAACATAAACAAAACGATCTGCAGATCCGGCACTAATCTTGCTATCATCTGGTGACCATGCACATCTTAGAAGATTCTTTTCGAAATTGTGTTGATGGCCGCTGAAGATTTTTACACAACGTTCTTGTCTCAGTGGTCGGACGTCCCAGATTCTCAAGGTATTGTCCATGGCATTGCTGAGCAGGTAGTTGCCATCTGAACTCAGTGCAAGTCCTGTGATTGTGTCAGTATGACCTCTGAGGACGTACAGGATTTCTTTAGTTCTAAGGTCCCAAACCTGAAATTGAGGAAGATGCTGTATCTCAAAGTTGATACAACAGTTATAAAACAATATTTTTCAGGATTGGGGATCTCCTGACTTGGCCAGACTGTGCCTACCTATTTTGAACCCCCATGGGTCTTACCATTAAATTGACATCTAATTTGTCCTGATTGCAGAATCTTATATGTTTTTGAAATTGTTTAGTTAATCTCGAAATGTTATTGACAATTTATAACAAAATTTGCAATAAAAACATTGTTGGTAGAGGCTCCATGAGAAACGAGTTTCCGTCATCCAATATCCTTGTAGGATACTTAGAAAAATATTATAGTAGTTTGTCGCCTCAGTAGCTCGGTGGTTAGCGCGTTGGGCTAGCAGTCGGTCGACCCGAGGGTCGCTGTTTCGAATTTCCGCCTCGGAAATTAATTCCAAGAAATGGATGTTGTGTGGTGTTGTCTAAATCACCCACCAAATTGGTGCAAGATTAACGATACGTACATCTGATCGCTGAAGCTAGTTTATTTAATGATCGAATGCCAATAGATGGCTTTTTTTATTTTTATTTTTTTTTGTTTTAGGACCAAGCCATGCAGCCAGAAACTAGGTTGGTATTTTTATATACGTATATCTAATTATGTACAAACACACGACGTCACAACATCCATGGCGAAGACGAGATTCGAACTCGCGGCCCGGCCGGCCGGCTGATCAGTAGCACGACACTCTGACCCACGCGGCCAACCGAGGTCCCCAATAGATGGCTTGTGAAGTCATAATACCTTCATTACCATTTGACTTAAAAAGCATCAGCAAATTTTCAAAGAACATAAAATGAAAAAATACTTGCAAAGTTGTGATTCAGTCGATACTAATATCAAAGCTACAATACATCAAATAATTCAAACATAATGTACAAAAATATCAATATTAACAAACTGATTAAAGAGAAATGAATAAATAACAACAAAAAAATTACACAGGTTGAAAACAGGTTAAAAATAAATTATATGCAATTATTCAATTCACAAGTCTTATGATGTATTCTTCAATGTTGTAAAAAGGGTATTCAATGAATAGACTTTTAACCCAGCGTTATAAAACGTTTAAATTGGTGACAGCTCTGATAACTATTGTCAACTTGTTTAAAAATCTGATAGGCATTATGAGGGGAACCTTTGCTGATAAAGCAAGGCTATCGGCTCTCGTACACATAATCCGTTATTGGCCGAAGCATAGTTATGCTCGGCCGAAATTCGCAGATATAATCAAACATGTAGAATAAAGAGAGCGCGTACACCACTACAACCGTTGGCGACCGATAAACGCAACGTCCGCACTTGTTGGGATTTCTCGACAATGCATCGGCAATTACAAGTGATGAATGAGCGTCTTAAGTATGGATATTGGAAAATTAATTGAATAAAAGTTACAATAATCGAGATACTTGGAAAACGGCTATGGGCTGAAGTTGCATTGGAAATGGATATAGCCATTGCAGGTGTAAAAAAAATGGAGCAACTTAAGACACCAATTTCGCAAAGAATGTAACAGATGTAATGAACCAGGTAAATCTGGTGCTGGCGGTAAGAATTTTCTAGAAGATACATCTCTTCGAAATCTTCCATTTTAAAAACACGTCTTCACTCTGTTAATCTGTATTCTCCTATTACACCCGGGGCAACGTTCGACGATGTACGCAGACAGTATGTATTCTTCATATTGTAACCACTCTCCACATTGCTTCACGACTGATATTTATCAGTTTTTTTCTAACACCGCATACACAATTAAAAATATAAAGTGAGTGTATCATCATGATGTGGAGAGTTTTGAATAGCTCCCAACAAGATGTGAGCTTATTACTAACAGTCATAGTATGAATCACTTTCCTTTGCACAAGGAGCAATTGCTACATATGTGAGCTGTTACCACTGCAAATGATACAGGAATTCATATCGGACTGTACATGAGCAAAATAGTTCATTCTAAGTACTTCAGTCTCCACAACACAAAACAATGCTTTGATATCTTATTGACTAAAGAGTCACTATGACCCCTCCAAGTGCGCCTTGAATCCATCATAACACCAAGAATCTAGTGACCTGAACCTTGTTACCATTCCATATACAGCGGACGCTCGATAATGTAAACTAATTTAATCAAAGTGTGGTTCACATTATCGAAATGTTTACATTAGCGAACGTGATTTATATAATATTTGATTTATTAAAAGAAACGTTTAATACATACTATTTATAACAAAATAAACAAATATTCTAACAGTGATAAGTATTTTTTTAATTAGAAGAAAAATAATTAACAATTTTTGTCTGCGTAAATTTGCGCTTAGCATTGTCTTTTTTTATTTTATTTGCGGTTAGTACACTGCTCGAACAGATGACTCCATTTAACGAACAATGCCTGCGCCCGTAATTTACGAAGAACTAAAATATCCGTGTATGAAACTTCTTTTCTTTCAGCCCAATCTAAAGCTTGGTTAAAAACTTGTATAGCTTGCGCGTCAGTCACTACACTTCTGACTTCAATGGGATCGTTCTCATCATCCTCACTGTCCATATCCTCCTCCTTATCAGCATCATTCGTCTGCTTATCTTCGTTCCATAAATTAATATCAGCAGGAGTACAAACAATGTTCGGATTCACTGTTTTCAATAAATCAACAACATCCAATGACACACTAATAACATTATCATCATTGGATCGCAAACGTTCTCTAATTATGCTTAAGGGGACATCGTCGTCTTCATCATCTTCATTATTGGTACAAAAGCGATTGTTACAACATTTTTGAATAGTTTGCTGGTTAAGTTCATTCCAGGTCATATGTAAATCTAAAACAGCTTCTCGTAATGTTACTTTTTTTAAAGCCTCAGATAAGTTTTCAGGATTCTTTGCTAAGACAGACGAAAGTAGAAACTTCCTATAGTATAGTTTAGTGAGTCTTATTACATTCTGGTCCATCGGTTGAATTAACGGTGTTACGTTGGGCGGCATGTATATGACGAAAATTGACCCATCCCTGCTCCTCAGTTGTTGCTCGGGAGGATGACTTGGTGCATTATCCAATAGTAACAACGCTTTTATTGGAAGCTTCTGTTGTTTTAGGAAACCTTTTACCTACAAACACATCTTCAAATTATGAATAGAGCATTTGTGATAATTGATTGTCATACCTGAGAGACAAAGCACCTGTGGAACCATTTCAGGAATATACTGCTAGTCATCCAAGCGGTTTTTGAAGAGTCATAATCAACAGGGATATTAACATTTTTAAATGAGCGCGGATTTTTTGCTTTCCCAATTACCAGTGGCTTTATTTTGTGTGAACCATTAGCATTAGTGCAGGCTAGAAACGTTATTCGATGTTTCTCCGGCTTTCTTCCCAGGGCAGATTTTTCAAATGATGCAGCATAGGTTTTCTCTGGTAACGTTTTCTAATAAAGGCCACTTTCATCTGCGTTGTAAATTTGTTCCATTCTTAAATCTAGCTCGGTAATTGTTTTCATCAATTTTTCTTTGAATAGTTGCACTAATTGTGGTTGTGCTGATAATTTTTCACCAGATATAGACAGCAGTCGAATTCCATATCTTGTTTTGAATCGTGGTAGCCAGCCATCACTAGCTACGAAATTTTCAGTTTCTTTCAGTTTTTCATTTAAGAGTCTCGCTCTCTGTTTAGGTACTTCGCCACTAACTGGGACATGATTTTCCCGTTGTTTTAAAAACCACTTACACAGGGAATTTTCCATTTTAGGTGCCTTCCCAATTTTTAAAGTTTTTCTTTTTCCCGGACCACCAAATGTATTGCATGTTCTTTGTAAAATTTGAGTTTTCATATGCTTAATTTTACAGATTGTTGTGTTTCGATACTCCATATTTTTTTGCTGTGTCACTCCCGCACCTAGTGCAACTTCTTCTATGATTTTCACTTTCTCACTCAACTTTAAACACTTTCTTTTATAGGATGTGGTTGCCATAGTCGTAAAATATATTAACGCGTGCAATGTATTCACTTAAGTTCAAAAATGAAATACATACGTACATATAAACCTATCCTGAACGATCATACGACTGACCGAGTTTGTCGTATTTTATCGCAGAGGTGAATCCCCTACACTACATCATAAATCGGAGACTCCCCGACGCCTGACATAAATCATCGAGGCTTCAGCATTTTACCGTCGCGCTGTTTCTGTGCGCCGAGAGTTGTTTACGTTATCGCGCGTTCCGTTTGATCCCATAGAACGAAGTTTGTGTTTACATTAGCGCAAGTTTTCATTATCCCGTGTTTACGTTATCGAGCGTCTGCAGTAATATGATGGAACTGACAACTCGGTACTGAGCTGAGTTGGATCTTTAGTTTTAACCATCACCATGGAATCATCAGCAAATAATGAAGATAATTTACATCTACCGCTTATTAATTGCTATATAATTTAAAGCAGTTCCTCTGATTCCATAGTTATTAAGCCTTTAGAGCAAAAGAGCTTGTTTGACAGTGTCGGAAGCATGGCTTAAATCTATAAAGAGAACAAATGTTTTTTGTTTCTTTCAAGGGCAGCTTAAGACAAAATCACACAAAGACAATAATACTACATCTTTTGTTTTTGGAATCAAAATTGGTGCCTGTTGATGATATTGAGTTTGACAGCTAAGTCAATTAGATAATTGAATTGCTTTTTCAAAGAATTTTGCTATTACAAATAACAATGAAATGTCCCTATAATTAACCTTTTTTATAGATTGGAATAACAAGTGATTCTTTCAGCTTATGAGGAAATATGCCTTGGTCATAAAACAGATTTATCAGTGCTGTCAGAGGTTTTACAATTAACTCTATAGGATTTAATAGGAATGAGCAAGGTACTTAATCAAAACCAGCAGAATTTTTTTTTGTGACATGTTTTAACACTTCAACAGATTCAGTGACTGAACTAAGAGACATGGAATTTCAGCTGATGGGGGTTGGTAGATGCTGCTCACTCAAAATCATAGATTTGGACAGTTCCAATACAGATCTGATAAATTATTAAATGCATCAGCAGCTTCCTTGGATGATGTAGGGAAACATATCCAGCATTATCAGAAATCAGCTCAGGAACATGCCCCAATAAAAATACGTCTGTTTCTTGAAATAAACATTTTGAAGATTTCAATAACTTGAGGTTTATCGAAATTGTGATATAGGACTTGTAAGCTAGACCACATACCTTGATGTCATTATCAATGCCTCCACTGAAAATCTGATCAGCCACATCATTAAAACTAACAGCTGTGGTTTGATAAGTAGTATTCATAGTTGCCACATTTTGCTTTTTCCTTGTATCCCACAACCTGAGTGTGCTATCATCACCCCCTGAACACAATAATTGAGGACCACGTCTTGCCCCTTGGACACAGTTTACAAATGTGGTATGCCCCTTGTACTTCTTCACCCTCTGTGCAGTTACAATATCCCACAGGCCTAGGGTGTGATCAGTGCTTGATGTGAATACATGTGAACCATCAGTGGTGAAGTGCAGTTCTGTTACAGCTCCTGTGTGCCCAGTCATTACTGAGATGTTTTCACATTCTCCATACACACTCCATAAGACTGAAAAAAGACATGATAACTCAGTTCACAGAGTTAATATTTTTTCTCAGTAGCTGTATACATGTTGAGCAAGGCCTGCTTAAATAATTTACAGGATAGGAAGCTCAGAGTTTGCAGTTGAAGGGGCTCCTGGCTAGAGTAACATCCAGGGCACTATGTTGATGGTGTGCCCATACAGTAAAAATCAAATAGTATATAAGCAATATCTAGTATACTTACATATTTTCCTGTCAAATCCTGAAGAAACCAAATATTGACCTTCTGGATGAAAATCTACTGTGAATATTTCTCCCTCATGTCCCTCAAGCAGCATGATAGGAGCAAACAAGTTTGAGGTCCTTGCTGGTACCTTAAAATTATACAATTCTTATTAAATATATGTTCCATTACAATTATCTACCCAGTTATTGAATAACATTCAATGAAAGGCAAATACTCAGGCAATCGAAATCATCACTTCAAAGATATGTAGTTCAGTAACTGGCAGAATATTACACTAGAACTTATAATAATTACCGGTTGTAAGGCAGTGCTATTATTACTTTTATTAGCAACTTCATTTCGAGGCTTTTTACTCGGCACCAAAGCAAAGTCGCTTGCTTTTCTTTTTTGCTCTACAACCATTTTAATGTTTTATAATTAAGATTTACTTCCTAATCAAGTACAGTGTAACATAACTTAAATTCACTGAGAAAATCTTCACAAAGCTGTTTTCAAAACGTAACTAAACATAACCTCTTTGCAGTATTTTGGGTTAGCTAGTCTGTCGGTAATACTAGTCCAAGTAGTACAAAATGGGAAGTATGATTCAAACATATGGCAACAGAGTAACAATTCTCATCTCTAAAACCAAAGTACTACTCATAGCCATTAGATGGCTGGAAAGTTTAAGGAAATTGGCATTGGTTTTGTATCAGCAAAGAAAATGACAAATTGACGTTTGTCAAACACGTCGAATGCAAAATATCCGAAATTCCAGAAAACAAACTAGTTTACGTGGCTAGAATTCAAATATCTTTATTTTTATTATCCTTATTGCCGTATATGACAATAACATAGAAGAATTAAGGGTAGGCCCCCAACTATGTTAACAAAATTCGAGACAAAATCCGCAAGGGTAAAAGGGCTGTCTTTCCACCCGAAAAGGCCCTGGATCTTGGTGAGCCTTCACAACGGATGTATCCAGCTATGGGACTACCGTATGTGCACCCTGCTTGAGAAATTTGATGAACACGATGGACCTGTGAGAGGTATCTGTTTCCACAACCAACAACCTTTATTCGTTTCGGGAGGTGATGATTATAAAATTAAGGTGTGGAACTACAAGCAAAAAAGGTGAGAACCTGACGGATACTAGATCTACTTTTAAAAAGTGTCTAGGCATTTCCGACATTAATGTGGTACAGTTAGTAGTTGCAAACATCTGATATATCTCACCAGTTTAGGAATGATTTCCTATACTGATATTCTGACACCCATCTTTCTAAGCCCTGCTAGATGCACTAGAGTACTGCTTCTTATTTTAATATCTATTCAATCATGCATATTTTTATCATCTTTCTCCTCTCTTTGCAATTTGCATCCCTTATCTTGATATAGAAAACTAGATTGAAAAAACATGTATTTTCTCTATAAAACATACATATAAAGATTAGGGTATCCAAGAGGCATCAATAAACTTTATTTTCAGCATAAAGTACTACTGAGGATGACCCAAAAAACTAGATAAACATTTTTGGAATTGGTTTTCATAAATAATTCCAACAAGTTTTGATGCAATTTGTAATTTAAATTTATTATTCAAAATAAATAGGCTACTGGTAATTAACGGCATTAGATTTGTTGTAAAAATCTAATAGGTTGGTATAAAGTATGGTGATACAATTACAAGCAATGTAACATTATTTTTTTTATAAAAACAAAGTTACACAGACTTCCAGAATAATATCTTACATATATATATATATCGAACCACATTCCGTTACTGTGTATGGTATTATATTCACAAGTGATTTACGACAAATGCACGTCAGGTGATAAGTTGAATAGCGGACATTTGCAATTGAAAGCTGTATTATCCATAAATCTAACTTCAACAGTCAGTGAAAGTGCTTTGCAGGAAGTTTTGGGACAAAATCACAGAATAGGCTTGCAGATCGTTCTATTAACACATTGATATTTCTGGAATCTTATTTATTTATTTAGTCAACTTACGGGCAAACCCATTATACATGTGTATTATAAATAGAAAAATGCATTTCATTAATAAATCTGATATTAATTAAGGTTAACTTTCATTGATCTCCTGGATTGTTTAAAATTATCCTATGCATTAAAATGAACAACCATTTGCTGTAAAGAAGATTATTTTTTTATCAATGTTTGTTAGAATTCTGTATGCATGATTTTTTATGATATATGACAAGGACATTGTGTTTCAATTATTGTGCCAAGAAGAATTTTTGTATTTATAAATATTTGAATGGACCAAACTGTTGAAAATACCCAGGTATGACCTAAGCACCCAGGTACTATGAAAAAAATTCTCTATATACTCAGGTATCAAAAAAGTCTGGGTATGCGAAAACCCTCATAAGGATACAGGAATTGAGCATCTATTCTTTTTTAAAATCAACCTAAAGCCTTTATCAGAAATCAGTATTCATTTTTTTAATATCTACAGTTTTTGAAAAAGTAGCATGCCTTTTAAAAAAACAGGAACACATTTTATAAAATCAGCTTGTGTCCACCATTTTCAAAAAGCAGGATTGCATGATTGTGATTTTAATAAAATCAGCATGCATTACCATTTTTTAAAAAATTGGCATGCCAACACCGTTTTCGAGAATAACTGCTTTTTACAATGTAGCAGCATGCCTTCACGATTTTTTGAAAAAGTATGAACCCGTTTTTTTGGAAAAATCAGCATACATCCCAAGCATCATGCATTCGCCTTTTTTTTATCAGACTGCATACACCATTTCTTGAAATATCAGCATGCATCCACTTTTTTCAAAAAGCATTATGTATCCACCAATTTTTGTACAATCAGCCTGCTTCCACCATTTTTTGACAATTGTACTATATGCTTCCACAATTTTTGAAAGAAATCATTCAACAACATTCACCATTTTTTGGAAAATCAGCCTGCATCTACCATTTTTTTAAAAAGCAGCATGCTGCCACCATTTTTTGAAAAATGATCATTCTTCCACTATTTTTCAAAAACATGGCCTAGATCCACTGTTCAGAAAAAAAAACTGCTTGCATTCACCATTTTTTGAAGTGGTTGAAAGCTGTTATCAACCAAGAATTTAACTTTAAGTACTTAAAAACCTGATATATATGAAATAAAATAAATTAAAACATCTGTTTATCTGAATGTATGTGATCCAACTGTAATAACACCCCCAGATGTATTTTCACACTACTTGGACACTTGGACTACATCCGAACAACAATGTTCCACCATGAATATCCATGGATAGTATCAGCATCTGATGACCAGACTATCAGAATTTGGAACTGGCAAAGTCGTACTTGCATCTGTGTCCTCACTGGACACAATCACTATGTGATGTGTGCTCAGTTCCATCCCAGTGAGGATTTGCTGGTTTCTGCTTCACTAGATTCCACAGTTAGAGTCTGGGATATTTCTGGGTTGAGGAAGAAAAATGTTGCTCCTGGACCTGCTGGTTTAGAGGTAGGTACATTTTTTGTCCAATAATTATAATCCTTTGTCACTTTTCACATAGTCAAGAATATGCTGCTTAGAAAAAAGTTATAGTCAAGAATATGCTGCTTAGAAAAAAGTTATTTTATTTTGTTGTTCTTCTTTTCCTTTAAAAATAGTAATCCCCAATTATTTTATGATTTACGCCCAGTCAGCATTCTACCAGTACCTTCAAAGATTTTAGAAAAAGATGTATAGGCAGCTAACCTCACATTTAACTGAAAATAACATTTTACCTCTGAAATAATCATCTAAATAACAAAAGCAGATTGTTGTATGCAAATAAACAACTACTGTACTTTGTCTAGAGTCTAGAGAATATTCTGTGAGCCTTGCATACTGCCTTTTAGTATACTTTCCTCTCTTGAATTGTGAAACCGTAAGAAAACTCCAAACAGTCCAAAATACCTACTGTAGATTGACTCAGAATCTCAGAACGTTTCACCATATCAGTACTGATTTCTAAGAAATATATCTGTGATCCTATTTTTGAGAGAGAAACTGATTGCGCGCCTATATATACATTCCCGAAATATAATATATAATAATACCTTAACAATGCCACATCACGGGGCTGCTTTCTTTCAAAATAGTTTTACATACAATGCCATTAAGTTGTATAACTCTCTGCCAGATAGTTATAAGTCAGTGTCAGTTAATAAATAATGTAAACCAGATGTTAAGATGTATGTATTGAGCCATGGAAATGCTGATATAAATTAATACTCTTTTGGGTCACCTTTACCTCGTTAAGCAATTTGCATTATCAATGGAGAGTATCTGAAATTTCTAACCAAGTATTCATGATCCTATTATTATTTTTATATTTCTCTACAACAGGGCGAACCCTGCAAATTGTAGGTAAAGTTTTTTAAACTTTACCTTACTGAAAAAAGACTGTCTATAAACTTTATTCTGATTTGTTGTCGTTTTTATCAATTTGTCAATGTAGATTATAAGCTTTTGATCGTATTTTAGGAAAAATAGAAGGTTTAATTGTTTGTGTTAAATTGGGTTGTAAAAAGCAAAACGTTGGATGAGGTGATCAATCAAAGCAGTTTCTTAGAAATTATCCAAATTTCTGAAGCTTCTAACTGTGTTAGGCCAGAAAGTGACATGAGCGAAAGTTTTGGGTCAGGCGATCAATGCGGATTTGACGAAAACGGAACTTTAGTTGGTGTTAAACACGTTCCAGACACATGAAACGTGCAACACAACCGCCTGTAAACTGTATAGGGCTATAGGTATCAGTGGACTTTAGTAAACCAGTGCCATGTATCACTGATACTACAATAATTTTTGAAGCTGGTAAAAAATTATATTCGTTCTACAATGAACCAAGATCGATTGGTTAATTTATTAATTAGTAGTTGATAATCAATTGAAAGGAAGCTTTCAAAACAAATAGATTTCAAGTTATTGAAAAGTTTAGCAAAATGAACTGATATTATTTGATTATATACAAATATATGGACACATTTGCTTTGATTATTTTTTAACGTCGTTTTCACTACATTTCACTAATTCTCTTTAATCAACTTTAATCTTACCTATTATTATTAAGTATGCCAAATCTTGTAGCGCGTGTTATGAGAATAAAACAAACATACATTAGAAATGATTTTTTTCGTCCTTTTTGGGCTACTAATTTTTTATCTATTATAAAATTATTATTTTTTTAACAAATGCTTCTTAGTTTTTCCGCCCCGGGCCTCCGATAGGCTTAGTCCGCCACTGTTACACAGACTAAGAATAAGTTTTTTTGGTCTGTCCTGGACTTTGTTTTGAAGTATCCTCAAAATCCTCCTCCAGAATTTTTATTTTGATGGAATATCAATATTTAGCCTCAAAAAAAGAATATATATTCAGAGCGTTTCACTTTTTCATGAACGTGAATGAAAGTGGCAAAATTATCTTTAAAATTCAAACGTAAAATTTCGCGAAAGAGCTGTAACAAGTTCTAAGCATGGCATAAATGTTCTTCCATCTCTTGCTCTGACCCTACTTCTGCAATGAAGGTTAGGCTACCACTCTATTTTCTGACGTTGGCAGTAATACTATTGGTAACCTGTAGAGAAATCAAATCCTATTGGTTCCAGTACAGAAAAATTAAATCAGTGCGCTTGCTAGTCATGCATTTCAAATATATTTTTACATACAAGTAAAAAATTATGAGGATGACCAAGGACGTAAATTAAATTATGAAAAATGATTGTCTAAATGTAGAATATCTCATTACATAAAGGATTTAACACAGTGCAAAATGTGCACACCCTTCAGAGTCACAAAAAAAGCTTTTATCCTAAACCTAAACATTCAAAATGTGCATTTTCAGAATTCCTGGTGACGTTTCCGTGGTATCTAGATATTGTGATATAGAATGTTTATAATGTTTCCTAGTGGTTGAGAGGATATTAACGTTTTTTTCAGGACCATTTGAAGAACCCAGGCAGCACAGACCTGTTTGGGCAGGCAGATGCTGTGGTGAAGCATGTGTTAGAAGGCCATGATAGGGGTGTCAACTGGGCGGCTTTTCACCCCACTTTACCTCTTATTGTCTCAGGGGCTGATGACAGACAGGTAGTACAACTAGCATTTGGCACGTTCATTTGCTGAGCTACGGGTTTTGAAAGCGAAGTCGCATTTGGGATTTATTCAAAGAATTTTTTCGAATTGAAAACTAATATATTGGGATATGAAACATCGCGTTATGTATATAGGAAATTTGTACTTTTTGATGAAAAACAAAATTCATTTTTCAGCTCTAATCATTTTGTATATACAGTAGCAGCCAAAAGTTTTCAAACATACAAAATCTAGTGATTTTATCTGAATCAAACCTTATACCAAAAAAAAGCTTATAAAAAATTGAATCCAAACTTGAACAAATATACAGGGTGATGCATTTGAAATTTTTGAGAAAAGCTACAATTTGCGTTTTTGACCACCCTGTATGAGCAAAAATTAAAATTCGAAAAAGTAACAAACAAGATAAAAGCTGAGGTGTGTAATTTTGTTTTGATACAAAATTCAGCACTCCAAATTTCAAAATGGCGGATTGAGGGGTTGCCGAAGTAGACGGTTTTTCTGGACAAAACACCTTGCATCTCAATAGCTAATTACCAAAAGTCCATAGTATCTTATATCAATCTTCTTCTTTTGAATTGGTTTATCCAAATATGCAATAAAATTTGAGGCATTCTATTTGAAAAATCACAACTTTGATATGTAGGTCGAAATTGGGACACCCTGTATAATGGCCAATATTTTAGAAATGTGCCCTCAAATGTCATGTATAACATCCCATAAATAGATTTTCCCAAAATGTATTTGTTCATGAGTAATATTCCGTCCACACATGGGTGGGCCACCCTGTATATGTATATATATATATATATACAGGGTGATTTTGAAGTTGAACCATTAATTTTCAGATAATGATTGTAGAAGGAAGATAAACCAAAATATGTGTGTAAAAATAAAAAAAAAATTACCTTGTTTTATAAAGTATCCTCCCGACAAGTATTTCAGTGCGGACCTGTATTTGATCGTGCGGTCTTGGAGCACCGGCATGCCCTTCCCTGTGAGGTCTTAAGTCACCTGATTCACGAGCCCTTTGTACTACATTAACAAAGGCACGAGGGGTTGGTTGCACTCGATTGGGAAACCGATTTTGTAAAGACTCCCCCCCCCCCCCCCGTAAATAAGAATCATATCCACAAGTTCAGCTTTTTCGTAAACATGTGCCATTTTTTATTTCGTTTGAGCCACGCAACAAACACCACTATTCACTCACGCGTTACCGACTGACACTGACTGTATACAAATGAATAAAGTGATTGTAAAAACATCGTTCCAAAAGAGAAACAAGACACCAACTGGAGAACCGCTATATCTACAAAAGAAAGATTGACAGTATTTCCCATTTCCGTGGCTCTTTCCAGCCATGCTGCATTTTTTTAAAAAACTATTTTTATAGTCTGCGTTACAACGAACATAAAAAAAACCCGTCTTGCCATCTTGCGAACGAACCGTTTCACGAGTTCTTTGTATTTCTGACAGAACGCAAGAACGCGAGAGTTCACACTGACCGGCACGGGTATCACGTATCTTGAAAAGTGACATTATGGCGATTTTTTTTGACATTATGCTGTTTTTTTTTTTTTTTTTTTTTTTTTTTTTTTTTTTTTTTTGACATGTAGGTTATTCTACAAGATGTTAACTTAGCACTTAGTTGTACGTGTTGCCTAAACGTCATGAGGCTTGTTATCAATCTTTGGCTGTGATGTGATGCAAAATCTACTTCTGAGATGGCATTACTGTAAGTTGTATGTGTTGATGATAGTTACATTGGGTTCTTGTCTCAAATACACTTAATTGAGATTCAAAGCTAGAAATTTTGTTGCGCATCCACTTTTTCTTATCCATTCTGGAAATTACATATACAATTTTGCTGAATTTCAAAAATGAGAGAGAAGAAATAATTATATTCACTGTACACTGTCGAATTACAAGCCATATACAGTAATTACACACAACGCGGGCGCGGTGATGATTTCCTCAGTTTTTCGTAATTTATAACTTTGAACATAACGTCTCTTCAGAAAGCACAACATATAAATAACCCGTCATACTCGGCATATTCAGTAATGATTCTCTCACACAGCAAATATCACTGATTTTATATACATGCAGACCAATACACATAATCATCCAGATGCGATCTTGATATTCAACCAACTTTCTTCTCAGAGATAAAAACTACAGGCAAGGACCATTTGGCCTCACAAAACTATGCAACCAACAATGCGTGTAGCTTAGTTGAGTGATTCCTCCATAGATGGACGTTGACAACGATCCTAGTGAGCAAACGTGGAATGACTGTTTGCGCCCTAAAAAAACTACCTAGTCTGCAAGAGTTCCAAATTCTTTCGCTTTTTTGTTTCCGATGCGATGAACCGATAAGGCGGATTATATCCGTTGTTGCCAAACACGAGCACATAATATTATTATTGAGACAGGGCGGTACTCAAACTTCTAAAGGGCTATAACTTTGTTACTTAAGTTTTACCAGAAAAATGTTAAAGGAAAAAAACATTTCTGTTGATCATATCTACTCACTGTTAAAATAAATGACTCAACTTCGAAGTCACCCTGTATATAGGGTGTCCCGCAAGGTAAGAGAGAAAATTTTTCTGCGTGTTCGTCAGGTCAATTCGAGTCGAAAAAGTCGTATGAACATGAGTCCGCAAATGCTTCCCTATCGAGATATGATTTTATTTTTAGTGGGCGAAAACCATAATATTGTTGGAAAATTGATTTTATTTAACAAAAAATTTAATACTCTTCGTATGAAAACAACTGTTTACAATAATTAAAGTCCACATTCACGTTGTACTGCTCGATTAATACGCTGGTGTTTGTTGACGGAGTAGTTGTGTCAGTTTGATTGAACTTTGCAAAAATTACTGTCATGTTTGTTTTTACAAGCGAGGAATACGGTGACATGATGTTTGTTTACGGATATTGCAACGAAAATGGCAGAGCATCAGTGAACGAATACCGCCGCCGGTATCCAAATCGAAGAATATCTGACAGAAGGGTATTTGGAAGAATTTTGGCACATGTGAAAGCAACAGGATGGGTTCCAAATGTTACTGTAACACGCCCATCAGAAGCTTAATACTGGATAGCATTGAACGGTCACCATCAACCAGCGTCCGCAGAATATCACGTCGCACTGGTATTAGCCAAATGACTGTGTGGAGAACAATGCATAACTTTGGTTTGTACCCATTTCATCTGCAACCTGTCCAAGCTCGTCTTCAGCATCGCAATAATTTTGCTCAGCAAATTCTGAGCTACATTCACTTTTTCTGAATCCAGCTTTGCCAAAAGTTTTTAATTGTAGAGGAATTTACTTTATTCCATGCTGTTTTTATAAAATACAAAGCTTCTAACACATTGATAGACTTTGTAAGCTCAGATAAGCTTTGACCATCGTCAATTTTTGTTAAAATATGTTTTAAAATCAAGTGCCGATAATAAAATTTAAAGTTCTGTATGACACCTTGATCCATGGGCTGACAAACAGAAGTTGTGTTTGGCGGTAAAAATATAATTTTCACATTTTTCATTTTCATATCACGAGGATGAGAGCATGCATTGTCTAAAAATAAAAGAACTTGCCTTTTTTGGATTCTCATTTTCCGGTCGAATTCGACTAACCACTCAGACATGATTTCTCGGGTCATCCATGCCTTTTTGTTGGATTTCCAAGTCGCTGGTAGATCCTTAATAGCAACGTTTTTTAAAGCACGGGGACGAGCCGCTTTCCCGATCACAATCAAATCGCATTTTTCACCGGCCATATTTGCACAGAATAAAATGGTTAGTCTATCTTTAGACAACTTTCCACCCACACATGTTTCTCCTTTAACACGTTCAGTGCGAACAGCGTCAAAAGACGCCCTCTGCTCCTGTGGTGGGAGGCGAACGGCGTCTTTCGACGCTCTCTGCCGTCTTCCAAAAAAGTATTTCAGTTTCTGAGGTGGGTATCCTGTTCCCAGTTCGCAGTCAATGTGTTAAAGGACAGAGTTTTGTCGGGCAATGCGCGAAAAAAAAGTCCACTCTCATCTGCGTTGTACACATCTTCTGGTTTGTAGCCAAGCAACATGGACGGAAGTTTCTCCAAAAATTGATACACATCAACTTGATCTACTGCAGCAGCTTCGCCAGATATGCATTTGAAACTCACACTATGTCTCTTGCGCCACTTTTGCAGCCACCCGTCGGACGCACTGAAATTATTATAGCCCAAAGTAGTGGCGATTTCTTTAGCTTTCATTTTCACTAACGGCCCTGAGATTGGCATGTTCTGACTTCTAGCTTTCACAAACCACTCAAAACATGTTTTGTCTATAGCAAAACCTTCCTTTTTTAAAAAATCCTTCTTTTGATTTATATTAGTTCCTGATTGCCATTTACTCCTGATATCTTCCTTATTTTTGGTAATTTCAGCTGCTTGCGTTTTCCCAATATTAAACCTCTTTGCCAAATGACGAACTGAAACACTTTCTCTGTCTAATACGTTAACAACTTCCATCTTTTCCTTTAACGAGAGCATCCTTTTTTTTGGTGCCATTTTACAGTTACAATAATAAAATACGTAACTCAATCAACTACGAATTTGCCTGAACTGAAGACAAGCCACAAGATTACATACAGGCTACCCAACGAAATGCGTAAATGGGGAATCACCTAATATAAATCGGGGAATTACCGAATTTTATGTATGTAGATATGTGCATTGCAATAAGCGGAACTAAAAAATCGTCCGGGTATTAGAGTTTCGCGTCCGCTTATGGGAGATTTTTTGATCACATACAGGAAAATCTAGTGTCCGCGTCCGTTTATAAGAGCGTCCGTTTATCGGAATGCATTTAACATTGAAAATTGATGGCTGAAATTCGGTTCCAGGAACTTTGTCCGGTTAAAAGAGATGTCCGCTTATAGGAGCTGTCCGCAAGGAGAGCTTTCACTGTATATACATATATAAAGTGACATATAAATCCGAACACCCAGTTTAAATGGTTTGATTTTAATAAAATTTTGTATATGTACTTAATGAAGCATAACAAGTAAATGATACAAATTTCAAAATGATTGCACTGCTTTAAAGCCCTTTGACCTTTAATAATGTGTGGATGCACCCTGATGTGCTACGCATTCTCCAACGCGCCTAGGCATGCTTCTGATCAGGTGGTCAATGTCCTCCTGTGGTATCTCATTCCAGGCAACCACCAACTCCTCTCGAAGTGCTTCTAGAGTCTGAGGAGGACGTTGCAAATTGAGCAATCTCCTACCCATCATATCCCACACGTGCTCAATTGGGGATAAGTCGGGAGATCTTGGTGGCCATGGTAACAATGTGAAAGAAGTCTATTGTGACTCTTGCAACATGTGGTCGGGCATTATCTTGTTGGAAAGTTGGATCTGCCAGGGTGTCAAGATAGGGTTAAAGATGGGGTTCTAGAACTTCGTGGATATAACGCTGCCCGTGGAACCATAAGCTAGTAGCACCCCAAACCATAACTCCAACAGTGTGATGAACATGTCTTTCAACAAAAAACTGTGGATTCCTCCTTTCACCACGTCGCCTTCTAACTCTGGCACGACCATCGTGCATGCCTAAACAAAATCGAGACTCGTCACTAAAGACAATACTGTTCCATTCCTGATCCCAGAGTGACCGTTGTGTGCACCACTCAAGGCGATTACGTCGGTGTTCTCGAGTTAAAGAGAGGACCCAGTGTGGCCGGTATGAAAACAAGCCAAAACTTCTCATTCGTCGGTAAACACTTCGCATGCCAATAGGTCTTCCGTGTTCTGCAAACCATCATTTGCAATGGACCTGGTAGTGGAGCGTAAACGGTCCCTTAAGGCCAATAATCGTAGGCGGCGATCTTCACGGTCTGTTGTTCTACGGCGCCGTCCAGTGCCCCTTGCTCTTTGCGTACGGCCTTCTCGAAGCCATGCCTGACAACACCTAACCACAGTGTCTACACTTCTTTGCACTCTAACTGCAATTGCCCGAAAAGAAAGTCCAGCTTCCCGAAGTCCCACTATACGGCCCCTATCAAACTCACTAAGTTGACGAAATCGTACAGGTCTCCGTACTCTAGGCATCGTAACCGATCGTAAAGGATGTCAAGAACCAAAATCCGCCAACGTTGATTCTTTACTGCGGCTGAAATATTCATTTTTAGAGCGTTAGTGAATTAAAAAAAAGCAGTATAAAATCCGGAATGTCCAACTGATAAGGCTGAAAAATTTTTCACTTGTTATTTACAGTAAGATAAATACATTCACCAACTTTTATTAAAATAAAACCATTTAACCTGGGTGTTCGGATTTAGTTTAGTATATAACAACAAGTAGGAAAATAATGGGCAAAATCCGCAAAAAGTGGATTCGAGCAGAAAATAGGATAGGTAACCCGAGCGATACGTATTTCTGCTGGTTGGCTTCATCAGGCCCGAAATGAATGCACATATGAAACTGAAAAAGTAGATACACATGCCCACACATCCGGATACGGGTCTAACCTGAGGAAACGAAGTTGGAGGAAAAAAAACGACACACGAAGTCCACAACAGGAGCCAACCTACACATTGTAGTATAAAATGGCTATACGACCTCGAATTTTCAAGGAGACGTCTAACCACCACCACGCGGCCGGTTATAGCCACTTGCTGTGGTACTTCAAGCCCAAAGGATCTACAAAGAGAATTTTTTATTTTCCTACTTCTTGTTATATACCTTTCTCCGCATGATCATATTCTCTCTCTCTCTCTATATATATAATTTTGCAAGTAACTTTTTCTACAAGATGCCCGTGTAACAGTTTTTGGTAATCATAGAAGCTGTAAAAATATTTTTGAAACATAGTACTACCACAACAATTTCTGTTCAAATGAAAGTATATCTTGAAAATACAGGTGTAGTAGTGTATTGATGCGATAACTTGAAAACCAATCGACATAAGCAATCGCTTAACGTCATATGCACATAAAATTCCTACCTCCTTAATACGCGTACAGTTTCAAAACTCCTGATCTATTTCAAGCACACTTTAGGCTGTATTTTCACTAAAAAAATCGAAAATAAAAAATGCGAAGTTGCCCAAATTTTGGCTTGAAATGTTTACATTCGGTTTAGCACTTTACGTTTTTTTAATTTCAAATTTGTTTTTTTTTTCATCAAAAAGTACATACCAATTTCCTATAAATAAATTTATATCCCCATATAATACTTCTCAATTCGAATTTTTTTTTCTAATAAACCCCAATTTGCAATGCTGATTCTCTTTAGCAAATACGCGTGTCACGAAAAAAAAAATTATGTCCTTTCTTTCACACCTACTAGATATATAAACAGGTCCAATATGAACGAATTTTAAAAACTCACTTTTTTCGCTATCCGCTTCACGTGAAATGCCACATATAACAGTATCATTATCAAAGTAATTCTTGCTCGCTTGTACTTAGTTTTTGAAATCATAAACCTATTTTTCTAGATAAAACTACTTTGCTTCATTGTTTTCTCGTACGCATGATAAAAAGATTTTTTACTTTTATTGACTCATTTAATAGTCATTGTGGTTCTAGGTGAAACTATGGCGTATGAATGATTCTAAAGCCTGGGAAGTAGACACTTGTCGCGGCCATTACAACAATGTTTCTTGTGTGCTGTTCCATCCTAGACAGGAGTTGATTCTATCCAATGGTGAAGATAAAAGTATCAGAGTGTGGGATATGACCAAGAGGACTTGCTTACACACATTTAGGTACGATTCTAATGAATACTGAAATTACTATAAACTTAGTGCAGTAAACTTTATCGCGTGATTCAATTATTCATTTTAAAACCTGCATCCAAGTGACTCAGCTTTCTACCTCAAACTGGCCTCAAGGATGCTTTGACATTTGGCGCACATATTCGAATTCAGCGACTCAAATTACCTGAATATAAAAAAGATTTACGGTTTGCAACATTGCGAGACGACAATCAAAATTTTTCCTGCAAAATCATAAATACGTTGAGGTTTCCTATGAAAAAGTTTTTCAAAAATCTCTGGGTATCTATGACCTAAACAAAAAAAAATCGCTTCCTGATTAAATCGAGAGCGTAGATTCTGGATTTCACATCAGTTTGACACTAATACCAATGGGAGGTCTCAAGTGACACATTTTATACTTCATACTGGACCCCAGACATTTTTTTGTAGTCATATTCGAATTTGGTGGCACAAATTACATAGATGTTTTATTTGCGTATAAAAATGGAAATGTTGCAATACAATTCCTATAAGAAAATTTTTAAAATCCTCTGCATATGTTTCCTCGGTTTCTCAGCATGTGTGCCCTTATGTTCAGAAAAGCATCGTTATTCCTTTCCTTCATATTTTCCGGGGTAGATGGTGGATATCTATAAACCTCTTGTTTAACGTATCCCCATAGAAAGAAGTCCATCGGTGTCATATCTGGTGATCTAGGATTCCAAGATATAGGCCCATCACGACCGCTCCAACGATTGTTACTCCAGGTGTCCAAATAGTTACGCACACGATTATGATAATGCGCAGGTGCGCCGTGATTTTGGAAGTACATATGCATCCGAGTTTGCAGGTTGACATCCTCTAAAAGCAAAGGCAAATGCTCGATCAAAAAGTTCAAGTATTCTGTACCTGTTAACCTGTTGTCGAGAAAGAAAGGCCCGATAACTTGTCTTCCAATAACTCCTCTCCAAACCCAGTAACGGTTTTCTCTCGCATAATAGTGCATGTTATGCATATTGACGACACATATGCTGTTAAAAGTTGCCTCATCGCTAAAAAGAACCTTATCCAGGAAAGTAGTGTCTTCACTCACTTTATTTAGTTCTACTGAACTCCATTCGAGCTGCGAAATCCTGAGGACGAAGGCCTTGAAGCAAGCATAGGTGATATGGATGGTACCTATGCTTGTGAATAATCCTTTGGACAGAAGTTCTGCATACCTGTGTTCTGCTCCAATTTGCCGTGCACTTAAATGGGGATTTTCCTGCAACTTTAATAGAACCTCCAACTGGTTCCCCTCATTGGTGACACTTAGATTATTTATACATGTTTTACTATATTCCACTGCTCCATTTGATTCAAAACGTTCTCGTAGTGTGGAAAATGTTTCCGGCCTTGGATATCTCATATTACTGAACCGTTGCTTATAAATGCGAGATGCTAGGAAACTATTTCTTTGGGCTTCGCCCAAAACGAACATCATATTCACCATTTCTTCTTTAGAAAAATTCATTTTCAAACACGTTTTTATTATAAAATTAGCGGACAGACATGACGGAAATGAGTGACATGTTTTTTTGTGATGAACATGTCCTATAACATCCAAAAAACATAATATCTCAAACATTTTTCGCGATTACAATAGTTCCTCGACAGTTTTGGCATAGGAAGTAAAATGGGATCTGAAAGATAATAGCACTACCTATGATACAGTAGCAGAACATTCAAATGAATTTAAAAATCTGCTTTGAGAAGAGTTAGTGTTTGGTTCGGCTGTGGTCTCGTAGATAATAGTGGGATCTTGAACCTATTTTGGGCGCCTCTTCAATGCCTTTTTAATTGGGTATCTTCTGGTGGAATATGGTAATCAGTGCCAGAAGATACCCAATTAAAATGGGCGTTAGGGAGGGAAAAAGGAATTGAAGATCCCAGCGCCATACATAAGTTTTTCCTCTTTTCGGCAACCGTTCGACCAAAGTCGCCGATGGCACTGCATCCTCTAGGGCATATTGTGTCTTGCTGCTCGAGTTTACACTACACAATCCAGTGGTCTAGTGTTCTGAACCAGTTGGTACAGTTTTCCTTCCTCGGTTCAAGTTTTGGTTTCCCGGAAAGTTTTGTGATCGAGCGTCTCGCACTCACATAAGATATATAGGGCTGATTCTGTTCCTTTTCCGCATTCTCTGCAGCTAAGGTGTCCTGTTAGAAGCCCTGTAACTGCACGGAGTTGGGAGCAGTTCCGTAGTCTTGTTTGGACATGGTCCCGAGATGAATTATTTCCCATGTCTACCCATACAGTAGTTGAACCACCTACCTGTTATCAAAGTAGGCTTGAATATTTGTTTATATTCTGCTACTACCTCATAGATGGCGATATAAAGTATACAGAATACTGTATATGGTAGAATACGTTAATCAATGCTGGAACATATAAAAATATCGGCCACTACTATGAATTGTGATGAAACACAAGTACTACCCGAAGCATGTGACATATTTACCTCTGTTTTTTAAATATTCTCCTCTATGAATTCTTTGTATGAAAACATTTGTTTACAGGAGGGAGCACGATCGTTTCTGGATTATGACCTCCCACCCCACCCTAAACCTCTTCGCCGCTGGCCACGACGGAGGCATGGTCATTTTCAAGCTAGAGCGTGAACGTCCCGCATACACCGTCCATGGCAACTTACTGTACTACGTCAAGGAGCGCCATCTGCGGAAGCTGGACTTCAATACGTCCAAGGACGTATCTGTGATTCAGATTCGAGGTGGCGGGAAGATACCCATCTACAGGATGTCATTTAATCCGGCCGAGAATGCTGTCATCCTGTGCACCAGAACGTCGAATTTGGATAATAGCACGTACGATTTGTATGTAATTCCCAAGGAACAGGTCAGTTTGACGGACGTAGTCATATAATATTTTTCAGCTGACGCAAATGTGTCAACATCTTCCAATTTGCGTTCTATAGTTTCTCGTTCTTTATAAACGTTCTTCTATACAAAAAAATCAGCAGTTTTGAATTATCCTTTTCATACGCCTTATTTTGGTATAAACTTTTTGGTGGGTTAAATGGTCAAATTGCTTAGTTATTTGCAATTTCCCAGAAATTCACAAAATTAATAAAGGGAGGAAAGTAAAAAAGGGAGGATTTTCAGTGGATAAAAGGTAGTTTCAGCCTCTAAAAATCATCCCGTTCCACGAGTTATGTGGTATTTATCTGTTTTGAATTGCCATTTCTTGGAAACTGCAAATAACTAAACAATTTAGAAACCGATCCCCAAAAATTTTACACTAAAATAAAGCTTATAAAAATGATTATACAGAACTGTAAAAGTATTCAGTATGCTCCATTTTAATTTTTTGCGTTTATAGATAATACACAAAATTTAAGAAACGTTTAAATGACAATAAACTATGGGATATGGAGCTCATTTTGAGAAATAGTTTGTTACTCTTATCTGCAAAGTTGGAAGTTTTTTTTTCAGATAAAATATCCCGTAGCTACATAAGTAGCGTCCATAGTACGCTATATTGAACTTTTCTACATTAATTATTTTATTTAAAAAATGTATATCTGTGTTTCAATGTAGTGGTGAATCACCTCATAGAGAGCGGCATATTTTCAAATTTGCCATTAATTTTTCAAAATTCAAATTACTTGATTGTCGACTAAATCTTAACAACTGACATATCATCATCAAAGCATATATGTCCACAAAGGTAGCGGAATTATAAAAATAAATAGCTTATTTATATATCTTTCATAATAACGGAGCTACCGCGCGATTACACGTAAAAATCCTCAATCTATGAAATTGTTTCAATCTTAGTATATTTACACGCTGTCAACCCTGTTAATTCTACGCACCTATTAGATATATTTCACACCCCATAGATTTCCCCGTACATTTGCCTTTAAAACTTGGTATGATAGAGAAATGATTTCGATGCGGTACTCCTGCTATCTAAGCTCATCGGGCGGCGAACCGGTCAGGCTGAATAATCTATCCGTATTGCAGCGCAAAAAACAACATAGACGGACCATGCACGAAATGAAGGATAATACGCTGCAGCGATGCCACGCTGGGCGCTGCAGTGCAGATGTGGATAGGGACAACGTTGCCAGATGGAAAGTAACTACCGGTAGTGCAGGGAAATAATGTCAATGGACTAATTGTATGTTCCTGTTTGACTGACTTAATCCGTTTAATTTCCGTGTTATACATGTTCGTTACTAATTTTTTTCTCAGAGGATTTAAATTGCGGTGAAGTTAGTCGTATATGAACTGATGACGGCGTTGCGAGGGAAGTGAATATACCAGTTATTTATTATATCTATAGCTAATACTTTCTCTCGTTTAGGGAGACGATCATGTTCCAGAGGCAGAAAGCAAGAGATCTCCAGGATTAGCAGCACTTTGGGTAGCGAGAAATAGATTTGCTGTATTGGACAGAGGTCATCAACTGATCATAAAGAATTTGAAGAACGAGGTGACCAAAAAGGTTCAAACGCCTAGCTGTGATGAGATTTTCTATGCTGGAACAGGTTAGGATCCATCGAGATATGTTTTTTCCAATAATTCTTGCCTACTGTTTAACTTAAAAAGTACTGCTCGAATTTTTATGAAATTCTGATATAGATACCATGTCAAGGATAAACATGTTTTGCGGGTTTGAAAATCGATCTAGAAGTGGAAAAGTTATGAACGAAACATTGAAAAATGTTCATAAATTTATTTGTTCTTGATGTTCTTCGAGTTTCAATTTGGGGAGCCGTCTGAAACATTTTTTAGAGGAGTCAAAAATTTTAAAACACCCAAAAATTTGGTTTAAATGTTCTTCAACATTTTGTTCAGTTTTGGGTACATTTCAGGAGGTTCAAAATTTAAAACATCAGAGATGCCTGATACTTTACTTATAATTCTAACGACAATAAAAAATGAATTATTTTGTTTGTTAAATAATTACTTACCAGCTGTAGCCTGTCATGTTATCTTTAATTTTTTTTTACTTGATGTGTATTTCTCTCTGTAACGAATCTAACTAATCACTACAACACATTCTCGTTTTCTCACAGGCATGCTGCTGTTACGTGACGCCGATAACGTAACTCTTTTTGATGTACAACAAAAACGGACTTTGGCCCAGGTGAAAATCAGCAAATGCCGGTACGTGGTGTGGTCTTCTGACATGTCGCATCTAGCTCTTTTGTCCAAACACAACGTCACCATTTGCAACAGGAAATTGGACGTACTGTGTACTCTTCATGAAAATACGAGGGTCAAATCAGGCGCTTGGGATGATTCTGGGGTTTTCATATACACCACTAGCAACCATATCAAGTAAGTATCTTTAAGAACTTTAAGTCGTAGAGTTAATTTGTAAATCTCAAAATAATGACTGTCGCATCATTGTTCATTTAGAACACTTATTTTTGAAAATACATCTGCATTTAAAACCTTAAATATAAATTACAATATTACATGTTAAACAAATATAGTAGTACCTAAATCAACATTTTTAAAGGACTCAATAATTTATAATGGCCTGAAAATTTACATGTGTCTCCATGATGCTATCAAAGGTACTAACAATTTAAAGATATTCCGCTGTGAACTTAAATTACATTTTAATATGTAAACCATATCATGTGTGAGTTCTACTATTCACCTACCTATAATCCACATAGATAATTAGTTATAGTTTAGTTTCAAGTTAGCTTTGTCATTAAGAATTCTCCACACAATAAAGCAAATGTAACTATCTATATATATACAGGGTGTCCGCAAAGTTGGGGTTTTCCTTTACACGACGTGTAGATCTTGAAAACATAAGCAATTTTTCTTAGTACCATATACACCAATGTCTTAAGGGAACCGAGATAAAGGGCTCTGCAACATCAAAAATATCTGAATACCGTCCTGTAGCCGCGACATCCCCAAGTGGTACTAGGACACTAGCTCAACCCGACGACAGAACTGGGTCGGGGTCAGTGTGTCAGGTCAGTATGCAACCTTCAACCGACGGTTACGGTCACGCGTGTAGAGGTAAACGAACCCGTATAATCGATTGCGTTTCAAAAAACAACAAGCGCTAGAGGCGTGGCTAGAGAAGTGCAAGTATCAAAAACTAAAGTGTGGCAAACGCTGCGTGAAGAGGGGCTGTATCCGTTTTACGTCCAACGTGTACAAGCCCTTCAACCCGACGATTTTCCAGCAAGAGTGCGGTTTTGTGAGTGGTTGTTGCATCAACACGACAATAATCCGGACTTTTTGAAGTGCATATTGGTGACAGACGAATCTACGTTCACGCGTAATGGGGTGAATAACTTTCGCAACACTCATGTTTGGTCAGTAGAAAATCCGCACGCTGTCCGTCGGGCACATTTTCAACAAACATTTTCGGTGAATGTTTGGGCTGGAATGGTGAACGGTATGCTCATTGGACCATTTATTCTCCCAAATCGATTGGACGGGATGCAATACTTAGACTTTTTACGCAACATTTTGCCTTCCTTGTTTGCCTGCGTCTGCTCGGTAGTGCATCAGCTGATTTCATTTTCGGTTGGAGCGGTATGATTTCGGGCAGAGACGTACTTAGCCCTTCTCGTCAACTGGAGAGTGAGTACTTTTTCCTTTATTTTTTTTTACTTGTTCGCCCTCGTTTCACTACACATTACCTTTGTTATTTCAAGGGTAGTTGTTTCTGAAAAGGAAAACCCCAACTTTGCGGACACCGAGTATATACGCTTATATCTTTTTCTTTTTTTTTTTGTTCAAAGGTACACTCTGACCAATGGTGACCACGGTATTATTCGTACTCTTGACCTGCCCATCTACATTACAAGAGTGAAGGGAAGTCAAGTATTTTGCTTAGATAGAGAGTGCAAACCCAGGATTTTGACGGTCGATCCGACAGAGTATAAGTTCAAATTGGCTTTGATCAACCACAAGTATGAAGAAGTTCTGTACATGGTCCGAAACTCCAGGTAAGTAATGAAATCATAATATACCCGTATTCAACATTGGTCAATGGCTGTTAGTGGTTATACAAGCTTTTTTTACTCGTGAGTGCCTAAAAAAGCTTTGAACATCATCGTAAACATATGAAGCCCCTAAAGTAATACAGCTAGATTTTGATGTTTTTTGTTGTAAAAAGCGAATTTTCAAAACTTTTTTACTTTTTAGGTTGGTTGGGCAATCGATAATTTCATATCTCCAGCAAAAAGGCTACCCTGAAGTCGCGCTACATTTCGTTAAAGACGATAAAACGAGGTTCACTTTGGCTCTTGAATGTGGTAATATAGAAATTGCGCTTGAAGCTGCCAAGGCTTTGAACGATAACGCATGTTGGGATCAACTAGCACAAACTGCATTGTGGCAAGGCAATCATCAGGTAAGCATTTTGATCTATATTTCTGTCATTATTAATAAGCGTTGCGCGAAGAATGGCTTAGCTCAGCTGCTAAATACTGCTCAATGTCGATTGAATGTGCTCACAAATAGTACAGCACAGCATAAGTGGTCCATCCAGATGACAAATAGTAGACTAGGTTGGGTCTTCCTTTATGCAGCGCCAGCTCGTAGCAGCAACGTGCTACTGAACGTAACCAATGGCTGGATGCTCAACTTTGTGCTGTATTTGGAATCCATTTTCCGTTTAAAGAATTGTTTATTCCTAAAGGTGGTCAATAGGAATGTAGTTGTAAGTTTAAGTGGTTTGGCTGCGCCACGGTAACGTATGCTTATTTTCGCGTAGGCAATGCTTTTCAATTGCTTCTGCTGAAATATGTTGATCAACTGCATTACTCTATAACTTAATCTTGATTTTCTATTCAGGTCGTAGAAATGTGTTATCAGCGTACGAAGAGCTTCGAAAAACTGTCGTTTTTGTATCTTATCACTGGAAATCTAGATAAACTGAGGAAAATGATGAAGATCGCAGAAATCAGAAAAGCTAGATCTTCTCAGTATCATAGTGCTCTTTTGTTAGGAGACTTGGAAGAACGAGTGAAGGTTCTTAAAGCATCTAAGCAAATGTCTCTTGCGTATTTAACAGGTATGCACCCCAATCCTAGATTTTTTCAATTCTACAATTGACGCTTCCAGAACGGTAATAAATATACAGATTGTATTTTTTTGTGTATCCTTATTTCCAGATTAATGTACCACTACTGATATTCAACAACTTCAATGTTCTGTATATTAATATATGTATACACTATATAGTGAATCACTGCTTATAATATTGTTTCTTCCTTTCAAGTCTCTAATCAGCTCTTCTTTTTCGAATTCCTCACTGAAGCCTACAAGTTTAATCATTAGTAACTTCCTAAATAAATTCTAAATAGATTTTCAACAAACAAACAAAAATCTAATGGTGACCTCGAACATGACCTTAACTATGACCTTCAAGCTCATTTGAATACCAGACTATGATCTTCAAGGTAATTTGAAGACCAAAGGAATTTTTAACGCAAAGCATCTCTATTTATTTCCTGAAATACAAATTGCGGGCAAGTTTAAGTCAATTCTCCGAAACCAATCTCCTTCACACCAATGTGAAACGAATGGCGTATACCGTATACTATACACTACTTTCACGCAAGCGGATCCGCGGGTTAGTCTATTTTGATAATAAATATGATTTTTAAAATAGCATGTCATAATGAATCACCCATTATTGATGTCAGGGGTTACCTTTCGACCTCACCGTTTTTTTTTTTTTAGCCGTGACCCATGGTATGACCGAAACAGCAGAGCAAATCAAAGAAGCCTGTGGCGGCGACAAACAACTGCCCGAGGCAGATCCAAACGCCAAGTTCCTGAAACCGCCACCGCCAGTCCAACAGGCAGAATCGAATTGGCCTTTGTTGACGGTTAGTCGAAGCTTCTTCGAGAACACTGCACTCACTAGCGCAGCGTCAACGAATATGAAGTCGTTGATGGTGGAACCCAGTGCGGAGCAGGCCATGGAAGAGGCCACAGGGTGGGGTGACGATGAGGAGATTGACGTTGAGGGTGAGTAGAGTAATGCATTATATAAAAACGGATTTTTTACGACTACTGTCGTTTCCCGCTTCTCCAACACCACATCTTCCTGTTTATTTGGTCTCTCTCATGAGGTCCCCAAGATGCCATGGCACTTTCAACATATTTCTTCCAACTTCTTGGAGGCCTACCACACTTGCGACGCTCTGTATCTGTATCCACTTATAAACTTTTTTGCCATCTGGAGTTGTCCATACTTTGGACGTGGCCATACCAAAGTAATCGCTTGGATTCAATCGTATCTATGACGTTCATAATTTCTTTAATCCTTTCATTTCCGACAATTTAACCTAGAAATATGACAACTCGTTCTAACCTAGAAATATGACAACTCGTTCTCCAGTAATCAATTTCTAGGGATATCAACCTATACTTATTTCTTTTAGACATCTCCCATATTTCTGAGCCATAAGTACTTTCCACGATCCTGTGATATATAATTTTTATTGAGGACTTATAGTCTAGCCATATTTTATATATACAGTGCGTTACAAAATTCGAGTAGATTCAGCATGTTAAATTATAAAAAAAAGTTCATAAAAACCTTAAGCTCGGAAATTCTTCGTTTCATTGTTCGTGTGTCACCTTACATATGAAGACAGTGTGAGATATTGAGATGAGTTTTGATACATTGGTTTATTATCAAAAGTCACAGTACCATGTAGAAAATTGTTTGTTCCGCAGGGTTATTACGTAAAAACCTATATAATGTCAAATAACCGATAAAATGTCAACGTGTTGACTAAGTGTGGAAATAGTTCATTCCGCGCATGCTACAAGTGAGCAGGAAGTGAACGACAGCTAATTCAAAGTTCACGTCTTGTAGGAAAACCTACATAATGTCAAAAAACCGACATAATGTCACTGTTTAAGTTATGTAATACCCCTGCCTGTTAAATGAATAAATAGTATGCCACTAGATCGTTATCTTACAGCCACATTGAATATATTTAAAAAACACCTTTTGGAGGTTACCGGTCAGATGCATCGTTTTCGGATTAAGCTTTTTATTACCGAGTTCTTCAATTTGTTTACCTTTATTAAAAAACAGTAATCGAGCTGGCACTTTTCTAACGAACATAAGGAAAAATTCCAAGAGATATTTTTCGAAACAGAATCAATATAGCTTTGAGCAAAACGATGCTTATTTTTGCAAAAATTAGAAGCGCACATTTTTTCGCTATACAATCTACACAAGGAAAGTTTTTAGACCTATACTTGCATACACTTTTCTAACGTGTGGTTACGTGAGTGAAGATACTACTTTCTGGATAAGGTTCTTTTTAGCGATGAGGCAACTTTTAACATCATAGGTGTTGTCAACAGGCATAAAACATGCACTATTATGCGACAGAAAACTCTTACTGGGTTAGGCAAATAGATTTCCAAAATAAATGGAGCTTGAATGTTTGGGGAGGAGTTATTGGCAGACAAGTTATCGGACCTTTCTTTTTCGACAACAGATTAACAGGTGCACAATACTTGACTTTTTTGATCGAGGATTTGCGTTTGCTTTTCGAGGATGTCAACCTGCAAACTCGGATGCGTATGTACTTCCAACATGACGTCACACCTGCCCATTATCTTAATCGTGTGCGTAACTATTTGGACACCTGGAGTAACAATCGTTGGATCGGTCGTGATGGGCCTATATCTTGGCCTCCTAGATCACCAGATATGATGCCGATGGACTTCTTTCGATGGGGCTACGTTAAGCAAAAGGTTTATAGATATACCCCGGAAAATATGAAAGAAAGGATTAAGGATGGATTTCTGAACATAAGGGAACACATGCTGAGGGATATGCAACGGTCATTTATCCAAAGACTACGGCTGTGTTCAACATGGTGGAGATATTTTCGAGCAGTTTTTGTAGATTAGGTGTTGAGTAGTGGTAGTTGTTTGTTTATGTTGTTGTTATAGTTGTTTTTCTCTATTACTCTTGAAGCTAATTTATACTGTTCTGATAAGTTTTTACGTCAAATCTGTACTCTTAGTAATATGGAACTAGCCCACTGTTTGTCTTTTGTTTCCGTGGATGATGTGATTTTTTTTCCTTAATTTTGGTGTTTTTCACGTTTTTGACCACCCAGTATGAGCAAAAATGAAAATTTGAAAAAGTAACAAATAAGATAAAAGCTGAGGTGTGTAAGTTTTTTGATACTAAATTCAGCACTCCAAATTTCAAAATGGCGGATTTAGGGGTTGCCGAAGTGGACGGTTTTTCTGGACAAAACACCATACATCTCAATAGCTAAGTAGCAAAACCTCATAGTATGTTATATCAATCTTCTTGTTTTGAATTGGTTTATCCAAATATGCAATAAAATGTGAGGCATTCCATTTGAAATATCACAACTTTGATATGTAGGTCAAAATTGGGACACCCTGTATAATGGCCAATATTTTAGAAATGTGCCCTCAACTGTCGTGTATAACATGGCATAAATCAATTTTCCCAAAATGTATTTGTTTATGAGTAATATTCCGTCCACACATGGATGGGTCACCCTGTATATATATATATATATATATTGTCGGAATTGTCAAATGTACTTGAAAAAGTATGTTATAATTTCAACAAATACATCCTGATATTTGATTACCACTTCTCAGCGTTGACGTTTCCCCCAATGTCCCAACAACCACCAATCACAAGGTAGCATTGAACCATCAGAAACGTCAATATAATATAATATAAAATATAAAATAATATAAAATAATTTTAGCCTCTATGATTTTCTGTTTCCTAATTTATATTATTTATTGTAGGTGAAGAAAAACGAGTTCCTGACGCCGCAGCAGCTGGTGACGGAGAAGCAGGCTGGGACGTGGAAGATGCAGACTTGGAAATTCCAGACTTGGGACCAAGCCAACCTTCAGAATCTAATGATAGTTATATTCATCTAGCGCCTCCAGGACCTTCTCCTACACTTAACTGGACTAAACTGTCACAGTTGCCTGTAGATCATGTTGCTGCTGGATCCTTTGAATCTGCGGCTAGGTATGTAAAGCATGTCCAAATAAGTACTTTCGGACGAATCCGAGCAAAAAAATGGCGTCAAGTAGGTTGACTCTGCACATTATGTTCAGAAAAAGTTAGACCCTATCGAAATAAGACCGCCATAAGATGGATAGAGGATAGTTGCTATGCTTTCGTTTGTTGTCCCAGAGACCAAGCTTAAACCATGCTGATGAGTTGCTGTTTTTGATCGGACGGACGAGAGCAACATGTTTAATTTAGACCCTCTGAAAAAAAGCTAAGTTCGCATTTGTATAACAGAGAAATTAAATGGATTAAGTCCGTCAAACAGTCCATAGACAACCTTTATCCTACCTGCACCCATATTACGTAACTTTTTTATGACATGTAGGTTTTCCTATAAAATGTCACTTTAAACTAGCTAACATTCACTTGTAGTAGGCGCGGAATAAACTAGCGGCAGACTAGCGGCCACCTAGTACACAAGTTGACATTTTACCGATTTTTTTGACATATGGGTTTTTTACGTAATAACCTTGCCATAGGACCACCCATCTAGCAACGTCGCCTCTCCTCAATACCGCGATACAGACGTGGCAGCGCGACAGAGCAGACAGCAGACAAAGGGACGCATGGCAAAAACATTTCTCTGTCGTTCTGTTTTAAGGGCAAATGTAGGGGAACATGTGTTATTTTTTACACCGAAGCAGCCACGCAGGCAAAGCCTAAATGCCAGGGTACCGCGACTGCTATGATGAGCTTAAAACAATTATTTTAATCCGATTTTTGAACTGCGCAATGTTAGTCGAACTGTCAAACGCCTCCTCATGTTGATTGTTCCACAGTCTCGATACCCTAGAGGTAAAGGAGTGGTCGTAACCAACACTTCTGGATGTTCGAAGTTCGACACGATTTGGATAGGAGGTCGAAGAAAGGCGGATCTTTCTTTCAAGCACATTGCTCGGAGTCATCACGGAGTAGAGTTTCAAAGTGCAAAGCCCATAGGCGCCGATGCGAAAGGGTCCCGAGACTGTCTGTTAGAGAAGAGTCATCGATCAGTCGAACAACCTTCCTCTGAAAAGCATCGAGCGTGGATAATGTAGCACCCCAAACATGTGAGCAGTACTCGAGGCTAGGTCTTATCTGAGCCTTGTACAGAGTGGGGAGGTCATGTGGAGAAAAGTTCTTGTTAGCCCTAAACAAATAGCCTAGCTTCTTACGAGCAGCTGCCGCTATTGACGAGATATTTGAGCCAGATGAGCAAACCGTACTGTGTTTTGGAAGCATTAGTATCATTGTATCAAAACTTCATCCAAATCCATGCGGTACTTTCCAAGTTATGGACGGGCCAAGGATTAGCAGACAGGCAGACCGCCGGAAGTGAGTGACATGGTTTTTCGTGATGCACATTACATTTCCGAAATATTTCGCAATTAGAACACTTCGAAACCCGTAGGCGTAGGAAGTAAAAGACATGCAGAGCTTCACTCCAGTGATGATTTTTATCTAATACTAAATTAATCGTTTATGTCATCACTAAGTCTATCATGGTCTTATCACCAAGTCGGATGGCAAATGACGCCTTATGGTTAGCTCATTATTATGCACATCTTATTGAAGAGTTTTATTGCTCCCTACTGCAACTATTGTTGGGGTGCAGCTCCGTTGATATTCTTGGAGGATAACAGATTTTCCAGTGGCAAATATTTTTTCGGCCAATACAGCGAAGAATTTTGACAAACTATTTGACATCAATCATCTAGACTAGAAGAAACTGATACAACCATACTGGGTATTCCATGAATAAGAAAAAAAGAAAACTGCTGAGATTACTTCAGCTAAGTCTGAGAGTGCTAAAATGGTGGTAACTTGTGAACTTGAAGATCAGTTGAATTTATTGTCGACAAATATTACTGAAAAAGAAACTGTAGTTGACGCGCTCAAGAAAATGAATGACGCAAATTGCAAAAAAGACCTATGCTACAAAAAGCAAGGAAATCCCATTGAAAAGCATAGTGATTATACCAAGCCAGCAACAGACAAGCCTCAAGACGCGTAAAGATATAGATAAAAACTTAAGCTTGTCTAAACCGCAAATCAAAATTAACGACGTGAAGAATTTTAGAAACGGTGGTGTGGAAATTAAGATCCACGAAAGTTAAAGGAAGAAATTCAGAAAAAAATGCGAGCATCGTACCAGGTGTCTGAACCGAAAATGTTTAGACCTAAAACCAAAATCGCGGGCTACTATACAGATGAACGAATTACCGAAGAAGAGATAGTAGAAGACATCACAAGACAGAATTTTCATAGAAAAATACGATATTAAGATAAATTGTATTAAGCATATTGCACAAAAAAAAAATTATATTATTTACGCAGAGATCACAGGTAATTTATTTAAACAGATTTTTGAAGATTATAATGGAAAAATTCTATTTTTTTATATTTTACTTTCGATGTAATGAACCAAATCTGTTTGTGGATAGTGTATTCTTTTGAACATCTGCCAGAGACTATATGTTTAAGTGTAAGAGTAGAGTAGCAGCATGCTAAACTTCGCCGTCTAAGTCTGACATTTGGCTATACTTCAATGTAATTGTGGATAAATAAAGACGTATATTATTATTATTATTATTACTAACAAATAAATTCTTTCACCGTACCTAACACTGACTTCCTTGATGATTCCATTATTCAGCCACATCGGCTAGAAATGTTGTATTGCAGTTATACATAGTTTTAGAACGGAGAAACGCATCAGAAATAATTCTGCAAACGTATTCAACTCGCTTTTTCTCATTGTATGATTTTTCAAACTGAAGGCGATTTTTAGTCAAGTTTGACAACACTACATTTTTTTGCTATAATGGAAATGAGTATGTAACGTTTTTTGTTTTCAGGTTATTGCATACTCAGGTGGGAGTAGCAAATTTTTCACCATATGAACAATTGTTTTCGGAAGTATTTGGAGCTTCAAAAACGGTATACACTCGACAGCATAATGTACCTACAGCATTCGCTTATCCTAGCAGACCGCTCAAAGATAATAAGGGAGCCTTACCAGTTGTTGCTGTCAAACTGAATGATCTTGTGCAGAAACTACAGGTAATTATTCACATAGTTTATAATCAATGTATAAACATAATTGTTTCCACATCACCTATCTACAATACAAAATTACAGTATTATATTGATATTGTATTGCTTTTCTCTAGCCCTTATTAGTCCCATGGAACCTTTATTGTTACTACTGTATTATGTGTTGTATTGAGAGCCTGTTTATAGTTGGTGTGAATAATTATTATTATTAATATTAATACAAAAAAGAATATTTTCGGCGGAACGGCATGTCATATAAGTATATTTTAATAAAAATGTATTTCGTAACTGACCTTTTAATAGGTCCTTTAAGCGAATGTCACACGATCAGTATTTACTGTGATCCGTCAGTTATTCACCATGAAATGTGACATCTATTGACCGTTTAGCTAACACACCCGTTATTATTGATGCATAAGGTTATGAATCCAGTGATTTAGAGTTCGTAATTGTTTGACGTACCTGTTTCATACGTTTGGAAATAGAATAAGTAATCCTTCTGGAACGTTAAAAATAGGCTTTACTTCCCGTGCTCAAAACCTTGGGAATAAAAGTTGTCACTTGTTATTCTTATTTTCATGATTTATTGTTTTCTTTATTTGGTTATCAAAATATATATTTTCACGATAAGTGGATTACCTTGTGTCCATAAAATTTCTTATAATATATATATAATGAGCAGAAAACGTAGTTAGAAATTAGTCGGCTGTCATCAAGTGCCATTCCATGACGATGTAATAATTTAGATGTGCTGAAGACTCACAGTATTCCAGAGTAAAATTTTATCTGTCATTATACATTCCATTACTGTGTACGGTATTACATTACGATTACAAAAGAAAGAGTAAATACTGATTGTGTGACATTCGCCTTAAACTTTGAATTGGAATTGAATACAAAAACATCATTATTTTCTACATCTTAGAAGATTACTTGTACTCGCAAGCATATCCCAATTTCTTAGCATCACTCATCAATAAGGGTGTTAATGAATCCCACTTTTCAGGTGTGCTACCAGTTAACAACGGGTGGTAAATTCTCGGAAGCCATCGAAAAATTCCAGAACCTCCTTCTCTCCGTAACTTTATTAGTTGTCGACACCAAACAAGAGATCTCCGAAGCTCAACAGCTGCTGAAAATCTGCGGCGAGTACATCTGCGGCCTTCAAATGGAAACTCTTAGGAAAAATCTGCCGAAAAACACTCAAGAAGAGCAAATACGTCAGTGTGAAATGGCTGCTTACTTCACGCACTGCAAATTGCAGCCTATCCATCAGATCCTCACATTGAGAACGGCACTGAATATGTTTTTCAAACTAAAGAATTACAAGACTGCAGCGTCTTTCGCCAAGAGATTGTTGGAGCTAGGACCAAGACCTGAGGTGAGCCTTAAATTTGATTCCCTTATTTTTGCCGGGAGTGAAGTTCATAGTGACGGGAGGAGAAACTCAATCGATCGCCGGGCAGGCTTTGGACAAAAAAAACATCATCGGCCCAAAATAAGCGTGAAATATGGTATTTATCCTGAGCAACTGAGAACAGTACTTGTCATTCCAGTGTACAAGAATAAAGGCAATTTGTCATCTTTTGATAGCTTATTATCAGTTTTTTCGAAAATATTTGAGATGGTAATGAATAACAAATATTGAGTTTTTCAACTCTAAATGATCTGAAATGAAACTCGACATGGTTATATTAAAGGTAAAACAACTCTACAGCTGCTCATAAGGTTATTCACAGTATTGACTTGGACAGCAATAAGAGTGTACTGGGTTTCTTTCTTGACCTAGATTACCAATATATTATTACAAACATTAGAAAGATCAGAGGTGCATCACTTTCTTGGATAGAATCATATCTCAGCAATCATAAGCAAAAAGTAAAGCTATTGGGATTGTCGTGGAACGGATATTTGGAATGAACTTAATGTTAAAACAGGGGTGCTTGGGGTCCCACATTGTAGTTTTTTAAATGACATTGACACCTGTATCAAACCTGATGCGTGTAATAATATGGACAATGCAAAAACCTGTTTTTTAAGGGTAAGACTTGTTCTATGTTTTTTTGAACAACTCGCTGTAAAGGATATTTTCAAAATTCAATTTGTCTTAATGGTTCAACAATTACAGTGTCTGACAATACTAGGATTCTTGGTAGTGAATTAGATAGTTACCTTGGGTGGGACAATCTTATAAATATATATAAATACGCTCAATAAGGTATGTTATTCTATAAGAATTGTTGCTAAATATTCGGATACAAAACTTTGACAGTTGTGTATCACTGAAATTTTGAATCTAAATTAAGGTATGGAATTGTCTATTTGGAAACTGTAGTAACTTTAATGAAATTTTTGTATTACAAAAGAAAACATCGAGAAACATTTTGGGTTTAAAGTTAAATTAATCATGTAGAAGCAAATTCAAGCAATTCGATATTTTAACAGTTTTTAACTACATATATTTATCCCAAGTATAGTTTAGCGTTACTTGAAAAAGGATCTCTTCACAATTGTCTAATGATTTACAACCATTTACCAGGAGTTGTGAAAAATATTGTAAAATAAGTCAATTTAAAAAATTATAAAATATAACTAAATCTAGCACCATATACAATCGATGACTTTTTCAAGACAGATTTGAATAATATAGCTAGATTTTGTCGGTACTTTTGTTTGGTTGATACTATTTGTATCACAAGTGGTTTACAGTGTTTCTATAACATTTGTATTTTCAAATAAAGATTACTGTTATTATTATTGATGCATCTATGGTGGAATCGATATCATGTGAGGCCTGGTAAAAGTACAAATATTTTGCTATCATAATTTGTGATCACTATTCATTATCTCCACAAGTGCAGATATTTCAGTCCGCTATGCTAGGTGGCACTATCATCGCGAATAGTCATTTTTCATTTCTGCAATCTACGAGAGCTGAAGCATTAGCTGCGTTCAACAACTCTAAGCAGTGTTGTCTGGATTATGCATTAGTAGGTTATGCTCATTGTCAGCTCATAGATGAGACTTAGCAGGCTAATGCTAGACAGCCCAAAGATTCAGCTGCAACTGTCGCAGTCATTTGTGGCTGAAAATTCTATTCCTGCAGACAGTCACTCTGAATAGTTTTCCTAGATCATGATGCCCTTTATTTTCGAATATTGTCTAAGGACCAAATCGTCTTAGAATAGTCCAAAGAATTTCTCCTTATTAAGAAAACACCCTGTTATATTCTAATTTTCTTTCAGGTGGCTCAACAAGCAAGGAAGATTCTCCAAGCATGCGACTCGAACTTGACAGACGAACTGCAGTTGAACTATGATGAACACAACCCGTTTTCGCTATGCGGTCATTCCTACACGCCGATCTACAGGGGAAAACCTGAAGAAAAATGCCCTCTTTGCAGTACTTCCTATTTGACAAAGTACAAAGGAAATCTGTGTAACGTCTGCGGTGTTGCCGAGATAGGAAGGGATTGTATTGGATTAAGGATCAGTCTGCATCAGTTTAGATAAATTTCGAATATTCAAGATAATTCGTGATATATGATACCGATTTACTTGGGTTCCAATATTGATAGAGTCAACTAATGAACCTATGACTGTGTATTGAAATATGCAAGCTGTTATAATTTGGGAACATGTAGGGTAATCCCAAAATTCATATAAATCTATTGTATGAGAGCCTTATACATTATGCTTATTCAAAAGACGATACTAGTTTCAAAAAAGTTATCTATTTAATTTAAAAGTATGTTAAATGTACTATTTCTTTTACGTACTTTAAATTTAATTTTGTTTTGAATCAAAGTGTTAATAGAAACGATTTTTGTTTCATTTACCACAGGTGAAACCTTATTAGCCTTAGAAGAAATGCATATTGGGTTACAGGATACTTCCTACGCGCACCTTGGAGGTTTCAAAGACAAGGGAGTCAAATCGTTTCAAAAGGCGAAATCGAATCGCGATTTGGTAGGTTCACTTAGGTACGCTGAATTTTCGACCTCTGCATATCAAACTATATAAAGCAAATCTATTGGATTTCTGGTTCGATGGCAGATGTAGGGAAAATATGTGCGACTTATTATGTCTAACAGATGCATAGTATGACAGATCAGTAGCTTCTTAATAATAGGTCTTTAACTGACACCAAATATCCAATAATTTTCTACAACTTTCATACCTTCAAACAATGTCTATTTCCTCCGCCCCTGAATGAATTTTCAAAATTGAAGTATTGAACTCGCGATAAACTTCGGTTTCGCAATTTTCTGTTGCTTAAGGATCTTTGCTGATCTAAATAGAGTGGAGTCCCGATTTAGTAAACTTATTCTGCCAAAGCTATTTTACTATATAGGGGGTATTCATTTTTGCGAGGTGTAATATTGAAGGCACATATTCAAAGAAATAGTATATATTCTGCAAAAAAATAATACTATCATTGTATTCAAATGAACTAAATGCATACTAAATATGGGTTTATACAAAAATATGAAGACAACATTCAAAACAATCTTTTATTTATTATTATGCAACACGAGCAATCTGCTGTATTCTACTGCATCGCCGTTTTCCTCAGACCATTGGATAATGCGATTAACAGATCGCAAAGCTTGGTCTGTTGAAATAAGTTTGTCTTCTATGTTTGACATATTAGTAATATTGTCATCATCTTCTTCCGAATCGGAATCAAGTCTTATGTCATTCTCCAAATGATTTAAGTTTACTGGTTCATCTTCATTCCAGTCGATAATGTCGTTTGTTTCACATACTACCTGCAATATGTACACAGAATTCAGAATTACATAAACATAAAATATTTTTTCAATTTAACTCACATTTGGATTAATATTTTGTAAGAGATCCATAGTACATATTACAAGACGTGCGTCGCAGTTCACTATATCGGGTTTAGCGCTGTTCTCTGTATCGCGAAGCAATAAAAAGATTTGTGTGTTCACGGTACGGGGTAGTTCACTCGAAGCGGAGTTCACTAAATCGCGACTCTACTGTATTGCAAAAAATATTTCTATAGCGGTGTGTCAGTGATGACACCACACCAGCCCAGTTGAAGTTTGTTACCCATTGCACCGTCGCCGAAATCGCCCTGTATAGAGCACTGATAGCAGCTGTCCCGTAATTTCGATCCGGAAGAGCGAGACAACTGAGGTATTTACTATTGAAACTGAAAATGGCGCTTCCACCATGGCAATCGAGACGGTGTCGAAGGAGTAGTCCGTAGAGGAGTTGAGAGTCGAATTGGAGATGGTTCGACAAAAGCTGTCAAAAAAGGACGATGACAAGACGACCATTGAAAGATTGATGATGATCGAAGCCCAGCAGCGGACAATTAACGACCTAAGAGTTGAATTAGACCTCGTGCTGAAAACTCAGGTACCTTCCCATCTAAATATTACACATTCTTCAGAAAAATCTCAGCAGCTGTTCAACGAACATGAGCTGCTAGGTTTGGCTATCCGAGTCGAAGGTTCAAAAGAATTCAAGACTCATCGGGCAGAGTCACCGCTGCAAAAAATATGGGCATGCGCAATCTTACTGCACTGCACCACCTAAGTGTCTAAAATGTGCTTCTGACCTCATGACCCACTTATTCCCTCAAACAGAACAAGAGGAACGGAAGTGCGCGAACTGTGGAGGGGGCACCCAGCGAATAGCCGAAATTGCAGACTTGCCCCTAGGAAAAATTTGCAAGTGATAGCGCAAAGACGCAATGTAAGTTACGCGTTAGATTGGCTGGACGATGTGGAGGCTTGGCAGTGCTAGTGAAACGCAGTATTGACTACCACAGAAGCACAAACGCTGAGATGCAGAGCATCGAAGCGGCTTCCGTCGTGGTCAATATGACGGGAGGTGTACCGTTAAAAATAACATCGGTTTTATGTCAGGTGTGGTATCAGAGGCTGAAAGAGGCGGATCTGGAAGTCCTTTTAGACTGCTCGGGTCCACTTATTGTGGCAGGGGACTTCAACTGCAAACATCGAGCATGGTATTCTAGGTTGAATTCCACCAGTGGGATCCGACTGTACAACCATGTGATGTGAAATGGCTACCTCATACATAGTACTGAGGAGCCGACGCACCACCCATTTAATCACCTTCAGGCACCTGATGTTCTTGATTTTGCAATATCCAAAAACTGTAGTTACAGTAGCACTTCTCGAATCATGTATGACATCTCAAGCGATCAACTTCCCGTCGTTTTGGAAGTGGGTAATGAGCAGATCTTGGAGGATGAAACCGCTCCAAGGAAACGCATTGATTGGGTGCTATACAAGTTGCTCCTCAGAGAGTTCCCCAATATTCCAATCATAGATGACGAGAACGGTATAGATGCGGCTCAAGCGGAGTGGACAAGTTTTGTTCAGCAAGCTCTGCAGCGTGCCAGCAGACAGTTTCAGATAAAAGGGCTGCAATTAAGCAAGCGAAAAGGTCTTGTCAACCTGATGACATTCGCAGAGCGACGAATCTTGTTCATGAAGTAAGAAATGCTCTTCATGAATTCTGCAATGAGCAGTGGAACGAGTTTCTGGCGGGGATGCTTGACTCAAGCAGTCCTCTCTGGAAGGTGACGGAAGTCGCTCAAAAACGGAAAGCGTGAACAAATCCCACACATCCACGGTCCTGGAGACATCGCCTTCAGAACAGAGGAAAAGGTTGAGGTTTTCGCCGGTGCGATGGAAAGACAGTTCTCTCCCAACTATGATCTTGATATTGACCTCGACGAGGAGCAACACATCGTAAGATCTGTCAGGAGATATTTTAGGGGCAACGGCATCAGTGACAGTCGCGCTACCGTTGGTGACTTTTTTTCATCAGAAGCTTCTTCAACTGAAGATCTGCTTAGCACATCAGCGGAATCTCCCGAGATCCCGCATTACACACCAGCAGAAATTCAAGGTCATATTAAAGACCTTGAAGTGCGTAAAGCACCTGGGGAGGATCAAATCACTAAAAAGGCGCTGAATCTGCTTTCGTGGAAGTCCTTAACTTATCTCGTGGCAATAGTCAATGTCATGCTAAGGACCCAGTACTTCCAATCCGCGTGGAAGACTGCTGAAGTTATAATGATTCCAAAGAAGGTGGGTTCGATATTTCCCCAGGATTATCGTCCCATTAGCCTGCTGCCAGCTCCGTCTAAGCTCGCTGAAAAGAACCTTGAGAATTTCTCGTCAGATCACCATGTGATTCCTGACGTGCAATTCGGTTTTCGGTCTGAACATAGTACGCAGCTACAGGCGGTTAGGCTGGTGGAACGAGTAACCACAGGATTCACCCTTAACGAAAGTACTGGCATCTTGCTTTTGGATGTCTCAAAAGCATTTGACAAGGTGTGGCACGCGGGCCTCCTGTATAAACTAATCCAAAAGGGCTTCCCTTTTTGGCTTCTAAATCTACTGAAATCTTTCCTTGAAGGTAGAAAATTTCGGATCAAAATTGACAATGTCCTGTCGACAACACGGCTGATTACAGCCGGCGTCGCTCAGGGTTTGGTCCTTGGACCTATCCTTTACTCACTGTACATCCATGACGTCCCTAGCCCCAGCACCTGTGAAGTCTATCTCGATGCTGACGATACTGCATTGGTGGCTCAGTCATAGTCTGGTGACCTAGTCCATGACAGGCTGCAAAGTGCGGTGGAGGAAGTATTAGATTGGGCGGATCGGTGGCTAATTAAAATTAACCATTCGAAAACGCAGGCAATCTACTGTACAAAAAGATGTCGCGGAGTTCCGTCTAGTATCTCAGTGTCATTCTGGACAAAACTAAATTCCAAATTACGTTTCGACAGCTTTACCAATTATTATGTAATCAAAATTAAGTTTGATTAACAAGGTTCGACTCTATAAGGTGGTCATAAGACCGGAAATGACTTACGCATGTGCGGCTTGGTGTTTTATTGCTAAAACACACATGCGAAATCTGCAGGTTCTGCAAAGCAGGACGTTGCGCACTATTGCTGACGCCCCATCGAATGTCTCTAACGAAACTCTACTTAGAGACCTCGATGTCGCTTACCTAAAAGGACTACATTAGGCAACATGCGCAGCGGCGCTATAGTCTAGCGGAATTGCTCAGCAACACTCTGTTGCGTGAGTCAGTGGACTACACAGTCGAGCAAGTTCGCAAGCACAAAAGGTCGCGGCTCGCACTGTAATCAAAATTAATTCGTGAACTTAGAACAACCAAAATTGGAGCATTTTGACAAAATCTTTAGAAAAAAATCGAATATCTTTAGACCATATCAAAATGTGTAAAGTGATTTTACTAATGGCTAAACGCTACCTATCCTAAAAGATCCTCTTCTTTCCCTTTGCTCTCGTTCTTCATCCTTTGCTTTCCTTCCCTTTTTTCCTTAAAATTGTCTGGTTTCTGGGTTACCAGACCTGACAGACTTACAAACTGACACTGTGACTCAAGAGCTAAGGTCCCACGGACCGCTCTGACAACCAACGATGACTTGACCGTCGACGATTGCAAAGTTAATTTCGAATTATGAGCACCTTATACATCGGGCTTTTATCATTTAACTTTTCCATTGATACAGAGATCAGAATCTTTTTAATGCTAGGACATCTGTGTCTTGAATACTGAAGACGTTACATTTACAACCTCCAACTTTCAACCAATACAAAAAAATTTCAGAAAATGATCAGGAGCCAGTGAAATGCGAAAAAACTAATTTTAAGCGACTTTTATTTTTTCGTATTTTTGCCTCTAGCTGTGCCACCATTGCGCCGATTTTCAAAAACTACAAAGCTTTTTCATCCTTGGCGTAGTAGTAACCTTGTCTGAATGTTTCATCAAAATCTGAACGGTACTTCCCAAGTTATATGCGGTTATAAAAGTAGCGGACTCATCGACAGATTTTTTTTCGTGATGTACATGTTATATAACATCCAAAATTATAGTATCTCAATTTCGAAAATTTCGCGAATACAATACTTCCTCGCCAATATGACGTGGGAAGTAAAAAGGTGCCTGTATTGAAGGTTATGTTTCAAATAAATTATAACAAAGAAAAAAATAAATCTGTATTGATGAATATCACTGAACAAAAAATGGTAACAAAAAGCATACGTCTATAAATAAATACATATATGAAAATCACATAACTTTCACGTCAATTTATAATCTCTGATGTTTTGCACCACTGCCGCAACGCAGAACTTGAATCATGCGTTTGACGTTACACTGTGCATAAACAGGAATTCGGCAACGTGAGTTAGAGTCAACTAATGAAAGGGAACCTGCCAATCACGTGTTTGTTGCGACAAATTAGATGATTTTTTCGGTCTGTTTGATATGACATACGTTCTGTTTTGAATTTGTAATCGGCGAGACTTTCTTTGAGAATAATATGAATCATCAGGAGATGTGCATAAAAGGTGATGGAGACACTGCATTTGATCTGCAACAAGTTTTGTTTCAAATATACGAAATGCAATGTTGGGTAGATTGTGCGTCACGCGCCATAACGTTAGCAAGCATATAAATTGATTTTAACAGCCAGCGGCAGCATTACTGTAGCAGTACGGAAATATCAGAGTTTTAGACCTTTAGACATTGTCTAAACTAGACACCACAATTAACTAGAAACTACAAACCATAACTTGAGAAAATTAAATAAATTATTTGTATTGATTATTAGAAAAGTGAAGATAAGAAAATACTCTTATTCAATAATATAAGCTAGATGTTTATTAATTACTAAAAAATGGATACCAGCAAGGACTTGAAATAAACCTGTCTTTGGTCCCCACAATTTTATGACCAAGTAATAAAAAATGAATTTGCAACATACATTGTAAAGCTTGTACATTCATAGCATATGAATTAAGTATTAGCAAAGTTGCAATGCTTCAGCAGCTGTTCTGTGACATCCAGAGGAACATAGCAGATATG